TGATGAAGAAAGGGCTCACCTGGCGGGGCATACGCGTTCCACGGAATCTGTCCCGCGCCCCGAATTGCCTGGGCCTGACGGTATGCCGCTAGACCTTCTTGAGCTCCCAAATCGGGATTCTGTACCATGGGATTCGGCACGGCATAGTTGAACATGTAGTTGTTGTTCATATTGTTGGGCTGCTGCATGACTGGCATCTGCGGTTGCCACTGCGCCTGCGGTGCCCCCTGAGCTCTCGCGTCGAAGCCGCCGGGTGGGTTGACGGCGGCAGGTTGGTTGTACTGGTTGTTGAGGCCGACGAATACAGGTGCGGCCGCTGCAGGTTCCTCCCTGATCATGGGCATTGGAGACAGGGCCGGATAGCCAGGGGCGACGACGGGGCCGTTGTTAGATGATTGCCCGAGAAGATTGTTTCCCTGTACAGGCTGAGGCTGTACCGGTGGCTGGAAGACGTCGAGGAGCAGCGGCTCATCAGCGACTCCCTGTTGCCTTGCTTGCACCCTCTGAACTTCCAGTGCAACGGGGTGGCCATTGCCATCGTCGACGGCACGCCGGGATGCGCCCCTTCCAGCATCGCCTTGCGCGTCATCCCCTTCGTCCTCGCGTTCACGCTTGACCCGAGGGGGTTCGTCACCGGGAACACGAGGGGTTGTGAAGAAGTCACGGGACCACGCGGCCAGAGCATCTTCCGACTCCAGGTCATTCCTGGCGAGACGATTGTTGATCGTGGCAACCAGCTCTCTCAGATCCGGGCGATCAGAGGGATTATGGGCCATGCATTTCTGTACCAGATCTTTGAGTGCAGGATCAATGTCGTTGAACTGTGCACTCTGCAGGGCGCCTCCGTAGGTGGTGATATCTCGTCCCCAAGCGTCTCTGTAAGGGACACGAATGGCAGCCTGTTGGAATGAGCAGAGAGTAATGGCGCACCAGATCTGTTCAAGCTTGTTAGTCTCAGATAACACGGTAAAATGGAGCCCAGAATGGTCAACTTACAATGATGCCCACCTGGAAGATGTTTGTATGCATCCCGTAGTTGCCAGCAACTGGCGGCTTCGTTCCATCGTCAGCCACGAAGTGGTTGATGCCATCGTCGTCGATAATGTCATTCACCTGCTCCCACTCGCTGGTAAATTGTTCCTAGATAGTGTATATTAGTAAAAGCGATTGTAATTCACGCAACGTGACCGGTGACTTACGGGTGCGTAGTAAACGGGCTTTCCTCTGCAACGACAGTGCAAGAAAAACTCCTTACTGTTGGTAGAAGAAGAAAAGTTAGTTACGTAAAGCTCATAGCAGTCCTTTGAGCATTAACTTACTTGAAGTGTTCGGGGTCATTCTCATACTCGCTGAAAAACTCGGTCAATCCGAAGTCGGCAATCTGAAAACTGTTAGTACGACCTTCTTGAAAATGAGTGAGAGGTTATATATACCTTGAAAGTCGGGAAGTTGCCGTGAAACATGGATCTATTCGCCAAAAGAACTGCGCAAGTTAGTACCTTGTTCCCGAAAGTCAGAGTTCTCAATAGACTTACCATTTCTGGGGTCAAGATCGAAGTGCACGGTTTCCTGGAGTTCGACTTTTGGGTCATCGGGGAATTCCTCGTCAATTGGCTTCTGATACTCCCAATCTGGGTGCGAAGCTTCGTAATGTTCCCTCAGAGGGTAACCCATACCAACCAGACCGAGGGCGACTGTCAAGGCGAAATCAGTAACACTATCTAAAGGTCATCAGGCAGGATATTTCATAGACTTACGACTTTGGAAGAGCATCCAGATGGCTCTCTGAGGCCAACGCTTTCCAAGACGGCTAGACTTGCTGATCCACAAGCCTAGGTCACCGAGATTGGCGTTCTCGAGAATGACAAAGTTGCGAATGGGTTGTTTTTCAAAGTCCTTGAGAGTCCAGTTCTTGTCTTGGATCTCTGGGTCGGGCAACTTGGCCCCAGCTGGGGGAGGGGGGTGGCTATTCTGGTGCGCAGTCAGGTCAGCAGCCCTTTTTGCTTGGATTTCTCGAGTGATGTCCGATATCTGCAGGATATGTTGTGCGCCTACGAATTTCTATAACACGTTAGGAAGATACTCAAAAGACTACACCATCCAGAGCGGCGGAGTACTCACCCAGAGAGCCTTCTCCTCTCGTTTCAGCGCCGACTTGTTGTGGTGACGAGACTTTTCAATCTTGATCACGCAGTCAGTATTGAAGCCCGTTTTGGGGTCCTTGTGTACGATGTGAGCTGCGAATCCGTAGCCCCCTGCTCCCAAAATACGTTTTAGACGGATATTGTAACCCTTGGGATGCTTTTGACCCCCGTACTTGGCTTGGGCCTCATCTAGATGGGTCGAGTCGAAGTAACGGGAAGCGTACCTCACACTGGGTCCATGGATCCTTGGGTCGGAAGGGGGTGGGGTCGGGAAACCGTGACGATAAGGACGGACGTTGCCGTTCATGTCGTACTGCAGATATTGCTCACCCCTCTCGGCACCCATTCTCGCTGTGATCCTGTTCACCAACTTTATTCTCCTTTGCTTCTCTACCCACGCTTGACTCAGAGCCTGCTGCGCGGCCAGGTCAGGGCCGTTATTGTTCATGGCTACCTGGACCTGATGAGTAGAATTCTGTGACATGCTGATGATACTTGATAGAATATAGTTGCGCGATGGTACCTGCCCGTTTGCTTCGATGTTGTGAAATTGGAAGTGTGAGTGATGATGCTGATGTGTTTGATGACTATGTCTCTATTTTTTTCTAATTCAAATGCCAGTGACAGTCAATTATATTATATGTATGTGTTTTCCTTCGAATGTTTCTTCATCATTCGTTTAATAGAGGACTGATATGCAGGCAAGAAACAAGGTAATCCAGTGGTTGTCTTCGAGAACAATGTGTACCGCATACTTGCGATGGCTTTGAGAGTGCGCCATTCTTTGTAGCAGTCAATGCCTTTACATGCCCTGCCACTTGAATGAAAGTATTTGAAAGCTCTGAGTTAATTGTGTCTTCGCTGGCGTAAAAGCGTTTCATTAGCAGAACGAACAACACCGCTTTGTCAGTCTTCTCAAGTCAGCGAACAATTTGAACGCAGGCACTCGATCGAGGCCACGAGACAAAGGCCACTATAAAGGTCCTGGTTTATTCTCGTCACAATATCGACAAATTTTCAGGAGGCACACAGTTGAAGCCGAGGGCAAGTAATTGTGAGGCTTTCAGTCCGGTCACTTCGGGTGCAAATGCAGTTTTGTCAATAAGAAAGCAGCGGGATGAGGCTCAGATTCATCTCATGGTGGGATCCACCCGGATGAAGTGAGGTGCAGAGGGTCTCAGGTCCGGAATGACCCCACGCGCCCACCCACGTGGATACGAGGCGCTCCGGCAAATGGGCCGAGGGTGCACTGAATGAGGTGACGGGATGTGCGACATTCCGCGTGAAGATTCGGATCGAGGCTGGTGTGAAGTAGGTAGGTAGTGAAGTACCTAGTGTTATCTGACTCCAGCCACCGTGCAACCCAGAGATCTGGCATCTGAGTGGCGTCCAAGAAGATGTGTGATTGGTGTGGTTAGCAATTGAGGAAACGACGGCTTGTACAAGGCGCTGTGTGGTATTCAGTAGCGTTGATCAATCGGAACTCGGGAGCACAGAGACGTTTTCTCTGCCGGGCTCAGCGGGTGAAGGTCTGCTGGTGAAGTTCTGCGGATAGAAGTCCAGCAAGCTGTTGACGATGGAAGAAGAGAAACCAATTAGCCGCGCCGAACAGCATTCAGGCTAAATACAAAATAAAACGGGTCTCGGCGAAATCGATTCTCCACAATAGCACCTCGTGCGGGCCCTTGAGGTAGGTAAACAGCGATGCTCGTTGAGAAGGTCCAGGCCAGGAACAGGCGGACACTTACGCTTGCGATGGAAAGAGAAAACGGTAACCAAGGAGAAGAATAAGCAGCTCCTTTCGTTCAGAATACAGGCGCACCTGAGGGGGCAGTGACACTTGCGGGAAATCTGTCACAATACGGCATTCCTGTACCAACATGAGTGACAGGGAGGCACAGCGTCAGCTGGCCGCGGATTCTTAGTAGGTAGAGTCAAAGGGAACCAGTGGCAGGGCAGGAAAGCCGCCCTGGGACCAACCAACCCAAAGGAAGGGCTGCCAAAATCACAATTCCCATGCATATTGGCTTCCATCCCGCGAAACTTTGCAAACTGGGACCCTGACCTTGACAGCCAGCAGCGGGAAGCTTGAACTCCAATTTACCCCAATGGAAGTCTCCTGGGTCGACCGTAGCTCAAGTCCTCACAGGCTGATTTAAACGCACAAATGGGCGCGTGTCATTCTGTAGCAGTGAGCCAGCAACCACCCACCCCCCATCTCCACATGAAGCCCGGCCGGCTTATCCACGCGCGCCTCTCCGTCTGAGGTGCCTCTTCCTGCCCGTAACATTACCCGGCCACTACACTTATGGATATTTCACATCGTCCAATGTCGACGTGTCACGGGCTCGGAACGACCAGCTAGCTTTCTATCCTCCGGCGGGGGCCCCCTAGCTGGTTTGGTTGGTTTTGGGGAAGGCGATCTGTGTGTCACTTTTTATCCTATCGGTCCCTTTTCACCCCGCCAGCCTCTTGAGCCCTAGATATCGCCGCAAATATGTATGGTGACGGCACCATGGGTTGTCTGGAAGCATGCAGCCGGCCGGGGACAGGTGGAGGTTATCGACGCGGGCAACGGGAAAGTCAGGAAGTTGCAACTGGTCTACTTGCCCGAGGACTCAGCAAGCTTGCCTTCCGGGCCAGACGAATACTCTACATTGCCTGGCAACCGCGTATCAGAGCACCTGACGTTGGTGCCATGGTTATAAATACGTACATCGTCCCTCTTCCCGACCCTGAGTGCTGTCTGTGTTTTCCTTCTCTCCCTCTCCTCTTCTCTCTCTCAAGTTCTGCCACGCTTCGTTGATCTTATACTCTCGAACCTACTTCCCAGAACAACGACAGCTACCATTCATCATGGCCGTCCCCAACATCAAGCTGAACAGCGGCTTTGACATGCCCCAAGTGGGCTTCGGTCTGTGGAAGGTTGACAACGACATTGCCGCCGACACCGTCTACGAGGCCATCAAGGCCGGATACCGTCTGTTTGACGGCGCCTGCGGTAAGTGAACAGCCCACAAGCACGAGCATATACTGTCAATGGTGTGGTGAGAGCGAGAGCAGGAGGAAGCATTCTGCGGCGCAACGAACCCAGCTTCAGTGACAGGCGGCAACTGCGTGGCAACCAGGAAGCAATTGGACAGGTTTCTCTTGCAGAAAAACGCGTTGCGCGCTGCCATTGATGCTGGTGTTGGTGGTCTGCTGCGTTTCTCCCCCCTCCATAATTTCTTCCTGAGAAGCCAACTATTACCCCTCCTAAACCCCACCATGGATGATCGGTGCGAATTTCTGCAGAGCACCGATGGGGATTTTCCCCATGCGCTACAACTTCACCCGGAAAGCTCTCCGCAGCCACCCCTGCACTTCATCCGGGATTCGCACCCCTCCCCCCGACCTGCCCTGTCACTTGTCACTCCCCTCACTACCCTCACCAATGCCATCCACTTACACTCGGGGCTACGCTCCCGCATTCCCCGAATCCATCACACATGGACAACTCAAATCAGACACACTTTGATTCGCCATGACGTTCAACTGTGCTATGGGAATAACACGTAACTAACGTTGTCAATTGTCCAGATTACGGCAATGAGGTTGAGTGTGGCCAGGGTGTTGCCCGCGCCATCAAGGAGGGTCTCGTCAAGCGTGAGGAGCTCTTCATCGTCTCCAAGCTCTGGAACACCTTCCACGATGGCGAGCGCGTAGAGCCCATCGTCAAGAAGCAGCTCGCCGACTGGGGCGTCGACTACTTCGACCTCTACCTCATCCACTTCCCCGTCGCCCTCGAGTACGTCGACCCCTCCGTCAGATACCCTCCCGGCTGGCACTACGATGGCAAGTCCGAGATCCGCCCCTCCAAGGCCTCCATCCAGGAGACCTGGACTGCCATGGAGAGCCTCGTTGAGAACAAGCTCTCCAAGAGCATCGGTGTGTCCAACTTCCAGGGCCAGCTCCTCTACGACCTCCTCCGCTACGCCAAGATCCCTCCTGCTACCCTGCAGATCGAGCACCACCCCTACCTGGTCCAGCCTGATCTGATCAAGCTGGCTGCCAACGAGGGCATCGCCGTCACCGCCTACTCTTCCTTCGGCCCTGCTTCCTTCAAGGAGTTCAACATGGAGCACGCTACCGACTTTGTCCCTCTCTTTGAGGAGCCAACCGTCACGGCCATTGCCAAGAAGCACAACAAGGAGCCTTCCCAGGTCCTTCTCCGCTGGGCTACCCAGCGTGGTCTTGCTGTCATCCCCAAGACCAGCCGCAAGCACGTCCTTGCCCAGAACCTGTCTGTCACCGACTTCGACCTCGAGCAGTCTGAGATCGACAAGATCAGCTCCCTTGACAGGAAGACTCGCTTCAACCAGCCCGCAAACGTGAGTTTACCCTCATCTGTTGACCCTCTTGTTATGATTGTCAGCTAACAAGACATGATAGTACTTCCCCACTGAGAAGCTTTGGATCTTTGGTTAAGTGGATTGAGTTTTACATCCTATCCATTTTACCTGATTTATCGCACTTCATAACTACCCATACCACTCCTCAGAGAGCGGCCATTTGGTAGCCTGCAACTGGCGGTGTGCGTGGGAAATCTGTCCGACATGTGTCAAACCACGTACGACGTACGTCGATTGTATCTAGATACCCTCTCCCCCGGCAAGACTATGATCTGCCGCTAAAATACAACGAAAGCCATGACGAAGCCAGGTTGGAAATCCCGCTCGCCCGTGACATGCAGCGTTTACACGCCCAAAGTCAGAAAAAGCCGCCCGCCCATTGAAGAATACATCATACCTGTCAACATGTACTCATGCTCGCCAAACAGCGTAGCTGAGTATGTGTGACCGTGCATGTGTGTGCCGAGAAATACCTCGTGTGGTGAAGAAAGGCCCTTATATGTCCATTGATGTCTGCCCTCGCACCCAGATCTTGTAATCAAACGCCTTTGTAACGCCACGCCAGCCTCGTAAGTCTCATGCTAGAACGCTGTGCCTGAAAATCATGATGTTTTGACAAAGGCTGGAGCGATTTGTCAGCAAGTAGTTTTTCACAGTAATAGGGTTTTTCTCCTGATGTACTCACTTGCATCGATCTGGGATAGTTGGGGCAACGCCAGACGGACTTTATTGCGATACACCGCAGGTCCTCTAAGCTGTAGCGGGTTGCCCTCAAAGTAGACCGTCGTGAGGTGTTCCTTGTCCTTGAGCTCCTTCTCGACCTCGTTGAAGTCGCCAATCTGATTATAGCTGGCCCAGAGCTCCTGGAGGTTCTTGAGTGGCGCGAGGCCCTTAACGCTCGCAACGGCGTTGTTGGAGATGTCGAGTACGCGCAGCTTCTCGCTCTTTTCGATACCGGCGAGGGAGGTGAGGGCGTTGTGAGAGATGTAGAGTTCCTCAAGGCCGGGCACCTCAGCCAAGGGCGCCAGGTCGCGAATGCGGTTGGATTGGATGCTGAGGAGGCGCAGGTTAGAGAGTCCGCCTAGCCCCGTGAGCTCGGTGATTTTGTTCTTGGCGACCCAGAGCTCCTCGAGTTTCTTCAGGGAGTCGAGGTTCTGAAGGACGCGGATGCGGTTGGAGCCGAGCTCGAGCGAGGTGAGGTCATCGAGCCCTTCGAGGTTTTCGATTGTGGAGATCTTGTTGGCGACGAGGAATAGCTCCTTGAGCTTGGTCAGGTGGTTGACGCGCTTGATGTGCTTGATCTTGTTGAAGCTGAGGTCGAGGGAGGTGAGGTTGACGAGGTCGTCGAGGCCGCGGATGTGGGAGATGAGGTTGTCGTAAAAGTCGAGGTCCTCGAGGGTGGGCGCGAGGGCGGCGAGGCCGTCGATGGACTGGATCGAGTTCTGGCGGAGGCAGAGGCGGACCACCTTTTGGAAGCGTTCGAGGCGGAGGGCGGGTATGGAGGAGACGCGGGCGTGAGAGACGATGAGTTCGTCTGTTTCTGGGTCTTCGCCGTCGAGTAGATCTGTGGGATGGGGTTGGGCGTGTTAGTTTTCCATGCAACACGCCTCGTCTCGCGCTTGTAGCCCAGCGCAGGAAGAGCGCGCCAGGTGAGGAAGACTTGCCTTCGTCAGCGGGTAGTTCTTCGCCCGGAAGGACGTTCTCGTCATCGGATTCCGGATCGGAGAGGACCTCGGGGTTGGCGAGGACGGCGGTACGCTGAACCCTGAGCTTGCCGTCCCATCCTTTGCTATTCCTGAGGCCTGGGCTGGTCTGGCCGTCTGTCCGCGGGGAGGCGCTGGCGTCTTCTTCTGGGAGCTCGATGCGCGGGGAGTGCCTCGGCGACGAGGGTTCTGTCGGGGTGGTGGGATTTACAGAGCCGGGCATGGTGGGCGGGATTCGATATCGTTTCGGGGCTGTCGCGGTGGTTGCTGTAACAAGATAAGGTTTCTTGGCTCGGTCGTAGCTCCGTCCAAGTGATGTTGAAGATTTCAAGAGTGGCGGGGTGGGAATGAGCAAACGAGGAAAAAAAAGGCGGTTGTTGAAGTCGGCGGTGAATTCTCGGCGGGGCGGGGTGGGAAGATCTGATCAAGAAAGTGGGATGGTTTGGAGGACCTGGAGGGAGGAAATGGGCACCAGAATAGAAATAGAGGGGTTGTTTACTGATGGACCGATAGGTAATCAAGATGCAGTGTTGCACATGCCAAGGTATAAGGTAGTACGGTATGGGGAGGAAGGGATGTGCGATTTTGCGGCGTAAATCAAGGCAACGTCCAATTTCGAGGGCGGCTGATTCTTTATTTATTAGTTACGCCCGCTTGCTCTCACACTCACACACACCGCGCACATGTGGATAAGGTGCCTTCCCCGACCGCCTGGTGACCGTATTGGTGCCGGTTCTGGGCGGGGGAGGGGAACAGCACAGCACATGCCCTGCCCCTGGGGTTTGTGAACACCTGCCATGAGGTAAGCTCTCTGAAGTTGAGAAGTGACGAGATGGCTGGGCCTGTCGTCTACTTTACACTACGTAAGGTACCTCACGGTTCATCCCCTCTCCTGCCTTTCCCATTCGTCCCGCTGCTGGATACCTGACCTTATTCACGAGTGCAGGATTGACAGGCTGGTTCCAGCAATCCATCGAGGGCCGTTTGGCTCTAGAGTACCTTATCACGTCTCAATGTTGCTAGAAAGTACCTACCTTACCCGAGTAGCAGTGGAGGCGGGGGCACTGGGTCTGTCACTGTAGGTAATGTACTGCGTACCAAGCTAAATGGACCGAGAGGGCGAGAATCATGCCGTGGAATGAGATGATGATGATGCTCTTGAAGCGAACGGATAGTGAAGCAGCAGATAGAGCAGCTTAATGACTATCTTACCACATGGGTCGACACTCGCCTCTAGAAAGCCATTGTTGCAGGCTGTTTGGCTGTCATGCTGAGATTTGTCTGGCCTGCCCGTGTCACAGAGCGGCCTTGTCTCAGACACAGCAATGTCTCTACCACATCTTCCATTTCCATCTACACACCAGATTGTGTCAATGGCGGAACCCTGCCCATAGTCCATTCCTCTTCGAGTGCCTAGGTATACCTAGTATGGTACGAGACCCAAAGAGCCCTCGAGACGGATAAGAATCACCGTTGCAATTGATGGACGAATGCAGATCGTCGACCATTGGGCTGGAATCCTTGGACCCCGACCTGCAATCGTGGTGCTTATTTAACCAGTCCGTCTTCGTTTGCCGCCAACGCCGAATTCGAACGTTGCCTCCGAAGCTCTCTGAACGGAATAGGACCGCCTGCATGCCGGCCATATTGAACCCAGTCGCGTTCGAACACGACCACATGCGCACCATGTCATGGCCCGTCACTCTATACAGTAGTCCGCGATACCTACTCCCAACCAACGTTCTCCATATTTGATTTTTGCGCAAGCAGCAGCAGCAGCCGCCGCCGCCAGGAACCGCCCCTCTTTTCAGGGTACGTAACGCTTCTGTTTGAGGTAATCCGCATTTCAGGGTCTAGTTCCGTAACCTTCAACCCAACACCACATCATCCACCCGCGCCTGATACGCGCCTCCATGTCTCGCGAGCAACCGTGATGCATGCTATGCGCGCATCCTCCATTGGGCAGCTTCTACATGGTCCTCGCCGTCTGCAAGCACTTCCCATCACGCCACCATGGCGAGCCACGTCTCAGCGGCAGTCGATGCCGAAACTGCTTGTGACGCCGCACATTGGCCTCACTCACAAGCGGCACTTCAGAGCTGAGGCGCTCTATCTACCACCGCTCGTCTTCACCGGCCTTCTGCTCACTCTGTGGACGCAAAAGTGTCTCGCAATGATCATCTTCCAGAACAAGATCATTTACATGCCAGGCCTGCCACCCAATGCACGCAGGGAGCGCATCCAAGACTACGCGAAGCAGTGCTGGGGCGTACAGTGGGAGGAGAAGAGGATCCGAGCCGCCGATGGGACGGATCTAGCCCTCTGCGTGGCCTCGGCGACATCGACTGGTGGGAGGAAGACCACGTCGCTCGACGATACTCTATCGGTGCCGTCCATCTACATCCTCTACTTTCAGGGTCCGCCTTGTCCCCGTTCCAATACCCTGGCTGGCGCATAGCTTTTCCCCTTTTGCCTCTCCAAACGATCAAAGGCTCATGCATTGGGGAAAAATAGGAAACGCCTCGTCCATTCCCCCACGGTTGCCCGACCTATCGTGGGTCCTACAGTCGCTGCAGCAGAGCAAACGGCCCGCGCGATACACATTTGTGTGTTTAAGCTACCGCGGGTACTGGACGTCGAGGGGTCGTCCCTCCGAGAAGGGCATCAACCTGGATGCGCGGGCGGCTCTGCACTGGATTGGGCGGGTGCACAGCGAGCACGACGTCCACGGGCACCAGCCCACGCCGGAGGTGATACTTTGGGGTCAGAGCATCGGCGCTGGGGTCGCCACGAACCTCGCCGCGTGGGAGGCGTTCCCGCCCACGTTGCGGCTACGGTCGCTCATCCTCGAGACACCTTTCACGTCCGTCAAGGACATGCTAGCGACACTGTATCCCCAGAAATGGGTGCCGTACCGTCATCTCTGGCCGTTTCTCCGGAATCACCTGGACAGCTGGACGAACCTAGCCACGATCGCCAGGAACTGGTCCGGGTCGAGGATCTATGAGAGGCCTCGCATTACGATCGTGGAAGCTGGCAGAGACGAGCTAGTGCCGCCCGAGCTTGGCGCGAAGCTGGTCCGGCGCTGCGAGGAGGTCGGGCTCGAGGTAGAGAAGAAGACGGTGCAGGGCGCCTTCCACAACGATGCCGTCATTAGGCTAGAGGGACGCAGAGCCGTCGTCGACTGCATTGAGCAGGTTGTTGCTAAAATCTGATGGACACTAATAATGGCATCAAGTGAGGTCTGTCTACGGATAGCTAAGCAGTGAGTTCGCACGAAGCTGCCACGGTGACACTTCAGAGCTGTAAACGTTGGTCATTCTGAAGTGGGCAAACCTGATTGGCGAATTGAATGAGTACATGGCACTGCCGAGGGAACCCTCGGCGTTCGAGTTCAGTTTGGATTTCGGATTGGGAAGCTAGGAACCGCTCCCCGGGCCCCGGCAAACCGGTGCAAGGTTTATAGAGGCGATTGATGTTCAGGGGTTAAATTGCCTTGCCTCTCTTCGCAGGAAACCGAGCCTGGTTCATGGTACCATCCCTTGCGGTCCAACATCATTTACGCCATCCCGAAAGCCTCTCTCTGAGCATCGGGCTTTCGAGATAGAACAGAACAATACGTTAGATCCCTGTGAGCTCAAATCGTCTCCAAATTGATACTTCGTATCATCAGAGAATTCCTTTGGCCCCTCAACTATTCCTAGAACTTGACTGAGAGTATTCGCCCCCTGTGCGACGGCAATGAATCCAGATGAATTGTCTGCCCCTAACATTTCTTATTCTGGCCAAGTGATGGGTACAGAAGCTTGGACGCGGCCACGCCGTCTCAACGTGGATCATCTCAGGCTGTTTCCCACTGTTCCAGGCACCTAGGCAGCTTTCGTGTGAAGTGTGAATCGTCGGCGCACCAACAGATGTGTGCTCGGCAGCCCGCAAACTCCCGGACAGAGGTACATTTTGGGCCATTGAGTCACCGCGGAGTGACCTGTCGACAGGAGCGAGGGAATCATCCAGCCCCCTTGACTTGAGCACAGTGGCACCGAACCAAATGCACCAAAGCCAACGCAAGCTTGCACACACTCTCTCCTTTTTTTTTTTTTGGCACTGGCTGCTTAAGTTGTTCCCCCTGCGGATGGCTTGGACATGGCGCGGTTTTAGAACCGGGTTCGGCCTGGTATCCAGTGCCTGCCAGTGCCCGCCAGCTTTCCCAACAGTGCCACCGCAGAGGCAGCCAAGCAAAACCCCAGCGCACCACCCACTTTCCCATCAGCGAAGTACCCTGCTGGCGTGCACGTGATATCGCATCCAAGGCGTGTGTCCCTCAGACCCACCGACGCGTTCCCCTTGATCCCCCTGACGCGTCCAATGAGGACGTTCTCACCACTTTTTTTTTTATCAGTCCGCCCCCCTCTCCCCCAGGCACAGAGTCTCGGTGCCATCCTGTTCAAAAGCAGCCGGTGCAAGGCAATCACTGCAACGTACTTCAAGTAGGGGAGGGATCTTGGGGGACCGTGCCAGGAAATCAGGCTGTATATATTAGAATCCCATCGCCCATCCACCATGAGTTTCTCTCGAGTTCTCTCTCTCTTCTGTATTCACGCATCTCGGAAACGACGCCTTAGGTAGGTCAAACACATTTTTCCATGAGAATCAATCTTTCGGTTCATCCCATAGTCATCGATAATCAATTATTCCATCCATCACCGACTCTTTCCATCACTTGAAATTTTCTCTCCGACGACGTTCCTTAGGCATCCGAGCTGTGATATCTTCGGTTCGAATTCCGTTTTCTTTTACTCGGTAAACACCATCCCAGCCATTCCGGAAACCATCAGCCAAAATGTTCAGCAGACGCTACGAACCATCACAGACTGTGAACAAGAGCTTCTCAAAGAGCCACAAGGCATCTAAATCCAGCTCATCATTCAGCAAATCCAGCGGCGTTTCGAAACATCGCCATGAATCCCGCCACAGCCGAAGACCATCAACTGCCACTACGACCACGAGCACTGCTACCGAGGATACTTCCATGAGCAAGTGAGTCTTCAACACATTCATTTACTCTGCATTCTCCATCGAAACCCATGCATGTCGCTTGGGAGAAACGTGAACCAGGCACTAACAGAACCCTCCCTAAAACCAGCAACCTCACCTCCGCAATCGTAACCCTCGTCGTCGGCACAGAACAGCGCCTCTTCGCCGCCCACGAAGATGTCCTCTGCGCATCGCCCTTTTTCCAAAACGCCCTCCGCGCCAACCTATACGGCAGCCCCGCCGGCGTCGTCGGCTCCCCGACCTCCGTAGCCTCCTCCTCGGCCGCCCCGACCAAGCGCATCGCCCTCCCCGACGAGGAGCCCGAGATCTTCTCGTCCGTGCTGGAGTACCTCTACAAGGGCGACTACTACCCGCGCTTGGTGCACAACAAGCGCCGTAACTCGTGGGAGATTGAGGCCCTTAGCAGCAACGGAGAAAACGGCCGCGGGGGCGTCGAGTCGACCGTATACCACCACGGCGTCGACGGCGATTTGCTCAAGGACACGGTGATTTACTGCGCTGCGGAGAAGTACGGTCTCGAGGAGCTCAAGAGGGTTTCGCTGAGGAAGCAGGGTCTTCGTAAGTGCATTTCTCAGTAATATTCTACCTCCATTACTATGCAACATTCTGCTAACAGATGGCCGTTAAGAATCCGGCATCCAGTGCAGCACCATCCTGGCGTCGGCCCGCTACGCCTATGCCAACACGCCCGACAGCGACTCGAAGCTGCGGGCGCACTACCTCGCCCTCATCATCCGCAGCCGAAGCACCTTTAAGCGGAGCGGCACGATGCAGCTGGAGATGTACAACGGCGGTACCCCGCTCTTCTTTGACCTCTTTGTCGCGCTTTGCAACCACGTCGACGACATCTCGACCGTGTAAGTAGGCCCTCGAAAGTGAAGTGACAAATAACGAATCCGTTGCTAATCGATATTTAGAAACTCTCCTCGCACACCCCGTGGTGGCCGTTTTTAAGGGGCACAGCCTCACTCTTTTCCCATTTCCTACACCTTGAATCTTCTCATCTCAGCCAAGGACGAATGAATACCCGGCTCATCATAACTAATGACTTTACGTTCTCACGCAATCTTGCCTTCCATTTCTTTTCTCATCTACTTTTTACTTTGTTTCACCGTTGATTGTCGCTGAAACGGGCGATTTGAAGCCTGCTGGACTCGCAAAACCCGCAAAATACCATAAACATCAGGGCGTTTGAATCACCATCCCACTGGATAGGGATGGTCACGGCGTTTGGGTACAACATTTTGTATTATTTCTGCAAATTTTCCTGGCATCTCTTGCTCGACTTCTTGACTTCTCACGAGAAACCCTTGTACATTTATCTCTTACTTTTGGCGAGACGAGAACCCCATGAGAGGCGGACAATCTCGAGGGACGGTTTCTTTCGAGGCAGGAAAACCTGTCTCTTGTTCGCCTTCCGTATAGAGGCGACTGAGAAATACGAGACCCGGATGCTCTGGGTGTAACAGAGCGGAAAGAACGAGATGAGAGACGAACGAAATTTGGGACAGATTGCGTCTTCTGCGAAAGAGATCGAAATCATTAACTGTAAAATTATCATTCTTCACACTCGCTTTCTAGTTTCTGCAAATCTACAGGAGTTGATGCTGTGAATCTCGAGCCTTTTTCCCGATGGAAATGAAGATATCCCGTCGTTGCGATATTCACAAAATCCAACGAGTGATTTGATGGCCATCTTCTGGTATCTCCAACTTCCTCCCGTGTTCTGAAACATAACCAACACGACCTACCGAAGTTTTCGACCATGAGCAAAAGTCCTACGTGAATACTCGTGAATGCCCAAGGCACCCGAATTCACAGGCCCCGATCCGGGCGAACTATCCCTGCCTATGTCAACCCCATCCATCGCCCCCCGGTAGAGTGTCCCGGTTCCTGGTCCGCCCGCCGCGGCGACCAGCCTCGCCTAGCGTAGCGGCCGTGTTTTCGGATATTTTGCCCCTCTTCGAGCTGTGAGTCATATTGGTAGTGTCACCGAGGCTGACTCTTAGCAACACTATCACCGATTCACGCACGACACAACAGCCCAACTCAACCCCACCCCTCTCCGGGAACACAACACACATACTTTCAGACCCCGGCTTTTGTCTTTTTGCTTCTCCTGAATTACCTTATCACGCTACTGATGCAAGCACTTAAACTAAAGTCAACCACCAGGAACCCCCTCTTCGCTTACTTTGGTAGGCTGCTCGAACTGGTAGGTGTGCTTGTGAGACGTTAGTCATTGTTCCGTCTTTCCTGCCCGTGTCGGGCTTGAGTCGCCATATGAGGTTACTTTTCTCCAAAGGGAGGACTGGAGGTGGAGATGGATGTGAGCCAGAGGTGTGCGTGGAGCTGCATTCTGAAATGTGGTACGGCAGATGCTCCATCTGGTAGTTGTTTTCTACATACTGAGTGATGTTGTTTGACTGTTGGTGCGTGGCCGCAGGTAACTGGTGTGATTGCAATTTTGGAAATACTTGTATGCGCCCATGCGTGATAGACTTTCGCTGAATTACAAGCTCAACGTGGTGTCACACGTACATAAGGTAGGTATGAGACAGATAGATGGCCGGTGAAATCGGAAAACCTTTCCATATGCATCAAACAGTGGATGTTGTTTCCAAAGTGCGAAGGATGGAATTTCCTTTATTTCATTCATTGAAGACCAGTCTCATAGTACCTTACTTAGGTAGGTATCGTCTCCAAACGGCCACTAGGCCAAAAATGCTTGCTTGAGGTGGGAAGCCGCAAGTCCATCCCCATCGCACCTGCCTACCTTACCTTCCCAGTCCCAAACCTTCATCTGATAACTTATCATTCCCATCTACCCGAGTCCCGAGTGGACTACACACAAAAAGAAGTCCATATAGACCCCATCAACTCCATTCTCGTCACCAGCACAGCAGGCGCCCCCCTAGGTCGGGGGGTCAGGTCAAACTGTGGCGTGGGTGGTGGAATTGGTTAATGGTCGACATCAATCACATACGCCAACCAGCCTACTCGACGATAGGCTCAGCGCATACGAGTTAACCGAGTTCGAATCCCGGAATGAGCACCATAAAAATCCCCAGCATGAGCACCAAGAGATGTAGCCCCCAGTCCAGCACCGGGCGGGGGGGGGGGGTGAACTCATTTGTGGTTTTCGATCTTTTAATATGATTATGTAACCAAGCATTGGAACAATAGAAGCAATCTGCTGAGTATCAATGTATTGATTTGCATCTACTGATTGATCCCAACAGACGGCGTCGAGATAGACTTTGCTTTTTTAATTGCCCGGTATCACTAAGATACTCATGCATCCATCTTCCTCGCACCAATGCATGCTGCTAGGTTTCCTCGCACCTTATACGAGGCCGTTAAGTTCAGCGACGCCGTGTCGCCGATGCCTATTGGGTCAGATATCTTCTCGCTGCTTTTGTGCGCACGATGGTGTGGTACCAAGGCTGTATTATCTCAAGTCATCTTTGGGCCGGTCGAAAGTCTCATGCGGTCGGAGTCCCCACCCCACCATCCCCGTCTAAACCCCTGTTCCGGGGAACGCCCCGTTCTTGGAGAGGACGACGATGCCGCGCTCGCGGGCGATGTAGCCCTTCATGAGGTTCTGCAGATGATTGAATGATTAGTCAAGTACTTGTGAATGAGGGGTTACTTTGAAATTCTGCCTGAGTAGCGAGCTTTTGTGGCAGTCGCCACGACACCGGATTCCCTTGAGCACGCAAGGTCGGTCCCGTGATGATGTTGCCTACTAGGCAACCTCAGACGCACGACAAAAGAAAAGCTGCCACGTACCTTGTAAATCATGTTTGCCAGCAGGCACTCAACCTCGTCTGGGTCAACAGTCTCCTGGCTACCAAGGCTGATAGCAGCTGTGAACTCGGCGACTGGGACTCTGGTCCGACGAACGGGAGCGGTGCCGGCTTCCTTCGCCTCTTCGAAGCCACCGGCGACAAAGACTTTGCGTAATAGGTTGCGCAGGGTAATATCGCGACCGCGCTCCAACGTAAGGTAGATTCTGCGGCGGACGAACTCCTCTTCGCCTTTTTGTAGAGCTAGGTCAAAGTTGCGCAAGTCGCCTTTGCGGATGCACTGCGACAGTGGGAGAAAGAGTTTTTGCAGCCGCGGGTAGGGCTCAAGTAGTTTGCTGCTGGGCAGGGTATGTGTGGTGAGGAGATGGCATGGGATTAGATAGGTGAGAATTCTCCTGTGATGGTTGTTAGTGGTTGGGGATGATGACTTGGGATGTGTCGAGAGTACTTACTCTTGGTTGCTCTTCGCATCCTTGTGACACAGGGACCATGCCTCTGTGAGGTGCTTTTCGGCCTGGATTTCGTTAGATCCGTAATTGAGAACTGGACTTCTCTCAGTAATCGTACCTCAACATAGTTCTCCTCCAAGAAGAAGAGCACGCCCTCGTAATACTTGAATGTCACCCGCTGTGACTTGGGGAATGCTTCCAGGGGCGGCATGTCTCCACGGTTCGTGGACAACGCCTTCAGGATTGTCCGACTCAGACTTGCCGAGTTGAGTTTGAAGTAGGTCTTGAAGAGCAAGTTGATGGTGTAGTAAATAGCCCACTTTCTTGATTCTTCGAGAGGTGCTCTGTACACAGTTAGGCCTAGCCAAGAGCATTTGGGTTTGTCGACATACCTATCGCTCAGACACAGAGTGAAGATACGCTTGAGCTGCTGCTCGCAGTCGCGCAGCTGCTTTTGCTTCTCCAGGTCCGGATCGTAGTCGTCAGCAAGCTCCATTGCGTCAGCAGTGGCATCGGTGGTGCTCCGCTCCTCGTCTGAGCTGATGGCGAAGAGTCGCAAATGCTTGCCAGCAAGGTAGAGGCACGGAATTGTCCACGCCTCGAAGCCATAATTAGTGTAGCCTCGGATGAGAGCGGTGGTGAATTCCTTCCAAGACTCATACACCTTGGTCCATGATGAAGACTGTTGTTGGTGTTAGTGGTGAAACTGAAGAGAGGGAATGGGAGGCGTATTGCGCGAGAGCTCACCCTACCTCCAGCAGCGGAGTCGCCCTCTACTTTGAGGATCTCGCCAATGGCTTTCCAGTACGCTGTGTAAACTTCTACCCAGCCCGTAGTCTCCTCATGGTCGAGCTTGAATTTCTTAGATCCCGAGCCCCGACCGAGGAGCATGTACTTGATGTCACTCTTGGCTTCTTGGACGTTGGTGCTCAGATAGATGGACCGTAGCTTGTCCGGCTTGTTGACTGGACTGAATGGCTGAAGTGTCTGCGCAAGAGAGTACCCAGACCGAGTCTTGTAGGCATTGCGGAACTCTTCAAACAGAGGCTCCATTCTGTCTATTTGAGCCCTGGTCGATGTTGAAGGGTGGGTGAGTGAGTTAAGTGGTGGAAGAGCCAAAGGGCTGAAGACCGAAGGCTCTGAAGACTCTTGCTGGAACTTGACGCAAATTCAGCCAGGTAAAGCCTGCTAAAATGGATTCAAAGGCAATCTGCCTGCCAGACTTATGATGAAATCGATCCCCGTCTAACATCAGCCAGCAAATGTAGTTGCCTTTGTGACGCTGTTGCTCAACCAGGCGGTCTGCGCTGTGATTGGTCGGAACCCAGTGACTTTGGGATTCGCCAAAGGCGACTCCTCCCTCTGACCTTTCTGGTGGACACCGACTGTTTTGCGCCTTACAATCAAGGCAGGAATGCATTGACAGACCTTCGCGAAAAACTGGGCGATCTGAGGTGGACACCCACCAGCCGCAACAGGGTGGGGTCCGGTCGCTTAGGAAAGTGTGGCGCTGACACATAGGGTTCTCGCCCTTTTTTGCATTTACCCAACTTTTTTGTTTTCCCATTCGGCTTCAGACGCAGCAGCAACCACCACGATATCGGATAATCGACGACCATCGGCCAGCTCTTCAAAGTAAGTCACCAATTACTCAAGTTCGCGGGGGATCTTCAGTTTCTAACAAATTATTCAAGATGGGTAAGCACAATTCCTCTCTCCTCGCTTGGATCTGGATCTTGGATGCGAATGCTTGCTGCGAATTTTTCGAACCCCGACCGCGACGAACAAACTTTTTCAAAGTTACTTGAGACATCACGAAGATGTCGCAGTATGGCACGACAGCAATAGCACGCCTGCTTCATGGACTCACCAACACCGACTGCCATCAGCTCGCATATCAAGCGAGACTACAGCACACTACCAAACGACGAATGGGTCGGGGCTTGGCTTGGGAGGAACAGGAAAGAGGGGAATGAGCGCAAGACCTGGCATGACCTCACGACGCAACGCGATTCTGCCCTCCCGTCCGAACCCGACCGACCAGAAAATTCGCAGCAGCTCGAAATGACACAGCTATTCGCATCCTTGAATCCAGAGATTGTGTGGCCCAAGGACGACGCATAACTGATCATTTTGCTATAGGTCGTCTTTCGGAATACGAGGTCATTGGGCGCCACTTGCCCACCGAGTCCAACCCGACTCCCGCGTTGTACCGCATGACCATCTTCGCTCCCAATGTCACGGTTGCGAAGTCCCGTTACTGGTACTTCTTGCGTGGCCTGAAGAAGGTCAAGAAGGCCACCGGTGAGATCGTCAGTGTCAAGGAGGTACGTCACCGAAAACTCGATTCTCCCAAAGCACCACAGGCAGAGACTGACTCTGCACGCTACAGATCCAGGAGAAGCACCCCCTCAAGGTCAAGAACTTCGGTGTCTGGCTCCGCTACGACTCCCGCTCCGGCACCCACAACATGTACAAGGAGTACCGCGAGATGTCCCGCACCGACGCCGTCGAGGCTCTCTACTCCGACATGGCCGCCCGCCACCGCGCCCGCTTCAGGTCCATCCACGTATGTGCCCTCACGTCGAATATCTCGCCCGGAAAGCCGAAACCCCCACTAACAAAGTCTCCAATAGATCCTCAAGGTCGTCGAGCTCGAGAAGGGCGACGATGTCAAGCGCCCTTACATCAAGCAGCTCATCACCAAGGGCCTCAGCTTCCCCCTCCCCCACCGCGTCTCCAAGCTCAACAACCAGAAGATCTTCAGCGCGAAGCGTCCCACCACCTTCGCATAAAGTGTTGGCTGTTGTGCGGCGTTGTTTCTCTGGTTTTCGACAAATGGAGGGGTGGGCTACTACTACTTGGCAGGTGTTCACTAGGTCTATGGAACTATCACGTGCATTTGCTCTCTGAAGGCGGGGGCCACCAAAAGAAATGAAATCAATTCAAAACATCATCTTTTCGCGAGCATGGCCAAAAAAGCAGCAGGGGAGGGAGGGGAAACCTTACTCAAACCGCCCTTTTGATAGATGGACGAATGATACCTGAGTACGAAGCTGTGAATTACGACTTCTTGATGAGACGATGCGGTTTACCTTTAGATCTGCTCGGCCAGAAGAGGGATGTCAAGACGTCCGGCTTCGTCTACGTAGACAAATGCCAACTCACCCTGCGTCGGTTGTCAAAGTTTTTCTGATTGCCAGTGATGTGATGCCTGCATGTCTTCAACTGTTCGTAACGTGGAGTGCTCTCACTTGGCATCTACCTTTTTCTTTCCCAGCTGCTCCCAAATGTGAAAGCACATGCAACCCACCTGAGCATGACGTAACCTCTATAATTTCGTGGTGATTAGTTGTTCACGTTCTAGTGTCCAGTGACATATCACTCTCATGATGTGAAGGCTCGGCAACAAGCCCCGTTCACTTCCATCATATGCTTACTTCGAAGTCGACATACCTTATCTTGAAGCTCTGCCCGCTTGTCTGGAACAGGAGTCATCAAGTTGTCGAGAATTATTCACTCATTTAATCAAGCTCAAGTACAATGAATTTCATTTGAGAGTCTAGATTCCTCTTCCATTCTCCAGTATTGATGGGCGTGATTCGTCATCCCTATCGTACAGCATCACCATTTCATTTCTTCCTTTCCTTTTCCCTTATTATACACCACACTTGCGCGTCAGTTCATTTGGGTATCCCATACGCCTCCTCGTCCTCCTCTTGTGATTACCTTAGTCACTCAAACTGAAATCACCCGTCGTCCCCAGGTGACCTCTCCATATTCGCATCAACGACAAACTCGTCCCACGAACTCGGATCCCACCCAAAGTCTCCGGCATCCATCTGGATCCCGAAATGCGCAATCAGGTCCTGCGGGTTACTAAACAGCGGCGTTCCTCCAAACATGGCCATGTCCTCCGGCGTCAGCCCGAACGGCGGGTTCATGGGCGCCGACGTTGACGGAGGCAGTGATGTCGCGGGCATCCCGGCCGCCGCCGCTATCGACGGGTCAACCGCCATCGGCGTGGGACCACCCAAACCGACTGTGTTTGTCGTCGCAAAAGGCATACTCGTGGGAGGCTGCATGGAGCCGCCTCCTTGCCAAGCAGCAGCGGCAGCGGTGTTGCCGCCGATACGGTCTGTTCTGAAGGCTGGGTGTAATGTTCCCATACTCACACCGTGGCCTCCCACCGCCGCCGCCGCGGCAACTGATGGCTCCTGAACACCCGTGACATCCACGTCTCCATAGCCATCATCATCACCATCCTCATCGTCATCATCATCATCCTCCTCCTCCTCTTCCTCATGCTGCGGCACCTCCACCGTCCTCCTCGCAGCCCCCTTCTGCTCCGTCGCCGCCGCCGCCGCCGCAGCAGTCACAGGCGCCCCCCTCCCACCATCACCCAACTTCAACGCCCCCATCATAGCCTCCGCTCTCGCAGCCCTCGCCCGTCTCAAAAGCTTCTTCAGCGGCCTCCACAGCGTGCCCCGCCTCGTATCCGCGATCCGCTCCCTCATCCCGTGGAAGTTCCGATCCACCACGCGCCACGCCCTCTCCACCAGCTCCCCGCGCGTCTGCACGCACAGCTCCGCCAGCGCGACGGCGAGCGGGTGCCACTGCACGTAGCTGTCGATCCACCACCCGAACCGCTCGCGGTAGGTCGCGGAGCTATACTCGACCAGCTCGATCGTGTTCACCGCCGTGCGGAGCATCGTCTCCCGCGCGACGCGGGGCTTCGCCGTCGCCGTGGAGGCGCGCGGTGTGAAGGGATATTGTGCAGATAACCACATTTTGAGGATGATGATGCGCACCGTCACGGCGGCGTGGTTGGCGGGTAGGTGCCGGGTGTCCTGGTCTTCATCGTCGCCGCCGCCGCCACCACCACCAGAGCCATCGCCGTCCGATGCAGGTGTTTTGGCCGGCGCGGTGCCAAAGAGCGCTTCGAGACGCTGCGCGTGCGCCATAATCTCATCCTCTGACGTCGTCGGCTCCGGCGTGCCGTCGTTGTCGAGCGCAAGCTGCGGGTGCCGCGGCCGCAGGTTGCCAAAGATGCCCGACGACATGCTCGTGCACAGGCAAAACGTCATCTCGGTCGGGCCCGTCCTGTCCTCGAGCGGATCCGTCGTCCCGGGGCCGAAGTCGTCGTCGTCGAGGTTGAAAGGCAGGCGGGTGTTGTAGGACTGCCGCGGGATGGCGGCGTCGGTGCCGCGGTCCTCGGCGGCGCGGATGTCGAGGACGACAATCATCCACCACAGCCGGCGGCGCATCTCGGCCTCGAAGGGCGGGAGAGGGGGGTTGACGCCGTCGCGGTGAAGGTGGAGGGCCTGGGCGAGGCGGACGACGAGGGGGATGAGGGCCCATGAGGCACGGCTGGCATTGTGTGAGCGGAGGAAGCACTGTGAGATGGTTAGATCTTGAACCGGATTTGATATGAACGTGACTGAAGAGACTTACCACGTAGTAAGTCAGCGCTTGAAGGGTCCGAATCTCAGTGCTGTTGAGATAATCCGCCTTGTGAAGCGCCCTCTCAACGCCCTCCCGGTACCTCTGCGCGAGCACGCTCCTCTCCTCCCCCAAGTTCCTCAGACAAGCCTCGTTTGTCAGGCTGGTGACGGCACCATAGTACATAGAAAAGAACAAGGCCTCCGTCGCATCATCGATGTGCTTATTCACAGCGTTCGCGAACCCTTCCAGCTCGACAGAGACCGTCGGCCGGTGAATGACCTTGAACGCCGGATCGACGTTGGAGAAAAAGATGCCGCACATGTACATGATGTGATCCCGCGGCGGGTGCCTCAGCGGCTCGTCCCCGCCCGTGACGAAGCTGGAGATGAGCCCAGACAGCGCGGGAGGCGTCTGGCCCTTATTGGCGGTGGATGACTCGGGGCTCGTCGTGCTGTGCTGATGCTGCTGGCCCTGCTGGCCCTGACCTCCTGGTTCCTCATCGTCGGACCCTTCGCTGTCGGAGGGCTGATCCAAGGCCTGTCTCATGCCCTCGACCTCTTGGCACAGATTCTCCCAGAACTCGGCGCTCATGTAGTTGGTCGGCGGGGCGGGCTGGGAGTCCCACCCCGCTCCGGGCGGCGACGGCTCCGCGTCATTCATGCCCGAGACCGAGTCGCCACCAAGACCCCTTCGGCCCGTCGCCGCCGATATGGAATGCGGCGTCGATGAGACGGCAGCCGTGAGCAAGGCCGTAGGGGGCACCGCTCCTCCCGCCGAGCCGGTTGGGGTCCCGCTACCGCCGCCCCTGACGACTCCATCCACGTTACCAGAGTCAACTTTGCTGACGATGCTCTCCAGACGGGTGATGCGATTCAGCAGCTCGTTCTGCCTCCCCTGGCGCGGCTTGCGGTTCCGCTTCCGGGAGGGGAAGACGCAGTCGAGGTCGGAGCGCTCGCACTGCTTGCACCGGGGCTGTAGCTTATCGCATTTGATCTTGCGATGGCGGCAGTTTGCGCAGCTGAGCTGTTGTTTGCTGGTGCCGCTATTGCCAGGAGCGGCGGTGTTCTGGTCGGATTGTTGTCGGGCTGCGGTCGCCGATGATGCCGGCGGTGTCATCGTCTAGTAGGGAATTTTTAGTATGAGTGTAAGGTGGTGTGGGTGAGTATGAGTGACGGGTGTGTGAGCGACCCTGACGTGAGTGAAGCTCAAGTGAAGCTCAGGGTGTGTGAGAGGTGTGTGGATGGTCTTTGCTGACGTTGACGATTTTGAGGGTTTCCCCGCTAGGCCTCTCGCGCTTGCATTCCTTGTAAGTTAAGAGCGAACGGGCGATCAACGTGCTTGTAACTCCTAAGCCCGGGCTGACGTTCGTCCGCCGTCTACGGAGTAAATAGTAAGGTTTTCATCCAGATTAAAAAGGCGGGGGAAAGGTGTAAAGAAGAGGTAATAATTAATAAGAAAAACTATTCCGCGAATCGGTTTCCGGGATTCTGGGGTTTTCGCTTGATGATGTCGTTCTGCGCTGTGAGCAAAACAGGATGAGCTGTGGGTGAGACGAGATAGGTAGAAGCGCGGGGGGGGAATATACCTATGAGGATTTGGGCTGTAGCCTGTGTGGTTCCCCACTGCACTGTTCCCCCCCAGGCCCCCGATCTGCGTTCAGATGCAAAATTTCCCAGGGGTTGCCCGAAACCACCTTACCACCCCGCTGCAGTAGGCGTAAGAAAAAACCTTAAAAAAACAAGACTAATAGCTGCCGACCACTTGAACGGGTAGATTTACGTAGAAATGACTGATATGTCAGCACGTCTGTACTCGTAGGATCACACATACATGAGTAGTCGTGATTTGCTCGGTCTCGCTAGAGATGGAGGTCTGGCTACCTTTGGTTAAGATAAAGTTTCCCGCCCGGTATCTTGCCGCGATTAGGAGAGAATTTGACAGACCACCTGGATATCGCGGATCGTGATTCCAGTTTGGGTTTCTTGCATTCTGCCCGATGGGAGCGCCAAGTCTATTCAGGAGACGAACAAAGACCTGGACAGTCAAAATCGGCGCGGCGCGGCGCTCGGAAGACCGCCGAGTGCGAGCCTGATAAATTTGCGGAACTATCCGTCCCCCGGCCAGGCCTCGTCATATTTAGTCGTACTTTCGATCAGAGATATTCGTAAGCCAAAACGGCAATGCTGAAAGAGTAATAGCGCGCTTGCGTACTATACTCTGGGGGTCCCTCACTCTTAGGGTGAACAGTCACCCAACTGAGGGCCCGTTGAGATGACTCAAACCCAGAAATTCTCCGTGAAAATGTTACAGACGAAGAAATAGAAAATGAAATCATGCAAAGAGATAACAAAACACATACAAACTTGGCTCTTTGTTAAGCCCGGTACCAAAGATTGAAGAAACATTCAACGAAAGGAAACAAGGGAAACAAAAAGAAAACATGCCCGAAATGGATAATGAACACCTAGACTTCATCACGGTGAATACCGCCCTCCCAACTCTTCCCCTCCCCCTTCTCGCCACGCGCAAGCCCGTCCTCACCGAGCGTCTCATCCTCAAGCCCGTCAGCCAAGACGACCTGCCCGCGCTGCACGCTATGCGCTCCCAGCCTGAGGTCATGAGGTGGGCCGTCGCCGGCCGCCCCGACGCGGACCTCGACGAGACGCAGGCCTGGCTGGACCACAACCTCCCGCCCAACGACGCGCACAACTACAACTTCACCATCTGCCTCCGCTCGACGGGTGAATTCGTCGGCCTCGGCGGCGTCAAGCGTATCGGCCCCAGCAGTCCCGGCCTGCCCGGCGGCGAGCTGGGCTGGCCCGAGATCGGATACCTCTTCTGCAAAGAGGCCTGGGGCAAAGGGTACGCCACCGAGTTCCTGCGGGGCTTCGTCGGCGCGTGGTGGTCCCTGCCCCGCTCCGCTGCGCCTGCGCTCCGGGTTGAGAAGAGCGTCGTCGGGGAGGAGACCCGGCCGTCCCAGGAGCAGCCCGGGTCCGAGTCCGAGTCCGAGGTGAACGGGGCGGCCGTGGTGGCGGTGGGGGAGATTCTCACCGCCGTGACGGAGCTGGACAACTTGCCCAGCCAGAAAGTCTTGGACAAGACGGGCTTCCAAAAGCTCAAGGTCTGGACGGAACGCGATGAAAAGACGCAGGAGACGACGACGCTTGTCGGCTATGGCATCGAGGCGCCGAAATAGGAAAAACCCCAACCGCAATACGATAATCGGAACGGAACACTGAAGATGAAAGAGGAAAGTGTGGGAAAGCAAAGAAATTCACCACTGACCATGCGTCGTTCGATTAAACCGCCCACCCATCCCTGGGCTCTTTGCGGCGTTCAGCTCCAGATGGGTGCGTTGCCGCAAAACCTTGTTGGTCTACCTTATTTAAGTTGGCCAAGAGAATTTTTTTTTTGTTTTTTTGGAGGCTCGGCACCACCTCAACATGGGGCATGCCCGGGTTTTCTAGCTCTCGAATGGAATTGAGAGCGCCGTAATGATGGGGCCAGCCAGTACGGCGCGGAGGTCGCAACGAGGACGGCATCGGACACGCGAGACTCGGGGTGGAGAACACAGCTTCGGACAATTTGTGTCGTCCGTGATTCCTCCGATCTCATCGGGACTAGCACCGCCGATGTTTCCCGGACTCCTTCTCCGGTATATATTAGAACAGATGACGCCAAAAAGTTAAATGCATCTCATCATACAATAGAATCACATAGAGAGACGCTAAAGACGAAATCCCACATTGCCTCATTCGTGCCGACCCGATCTCAAGTATTGCCGTCGCAACACAGTCACTGTCGTCATCCCTACCACACCAACAACTACTACCCAAGAAAAGACCACCGAAACCAACATGTCGCAACTCGGAATGGCCAACACCATTGCCACTGCTACTGGCGTCCTCGGGTGCGCATGGTGGGCAGGTTAGCAACTTCTCTTCCCCCTTCACCCGCGGGCTCCCACTCTTTCTCTTCGTGCCATCATCAGCGTGGTCGACGTCAATTGCTGACTTTTAGTCTAGGCGCGGCGGCATCATTATCCATGTTCAGCATCCCCGCCATTCTCCAAACCAGCGCCGAGCCAGGTCATGCACTGAAGCTGTGGCAACACATATTTCTGAACGGCGCGTCGACCGGCCCAAAAGTAGCGCTCGCCGTTACGCTCTCGCTGGCCTACTCTGCATACGATCGCTACGACCAGGGTGTTGCGTGGAAGCCGTTTGTTGCCGCTGGAGCTTTGAGTCTCGCCATCGTGCCCTATACTATTATCTTCATGTCGTCAACGAACAATGCGCTCATGGCCGGTGCACGGGGCATCGCAACGCTGGGTCTGTCCGAGACCACGGATTTGTTGAAGAGGTGGCAGGCACTCAACGCCGTAAGAAGCATCATTTCCCTTGCGGGCGCCGCTATCGGTCTGTGGTATACTGCTTTCCAATGAGCGTGAAAGGGTTTGATTCTATCCAAGACATATCAATCGTTTCTGTATAGACAGGGAACCGAGGCGACGGAACGGCGACAGATTCATGTAAGATAAAGATAGTGCTCGAGGTGTGCCGACCAGGCAGATGGTGGACAGCCAGTGCAACAACAGGTGGTCATCCCATTCCCGTTGGTTGCTGCAGTGTCAGGAAGTGGTAGAAATGGCACTTGGTCGACGCAATGTACAACAGCCGGTCCCTGCAAGCCTTGTTCGTATTTTTCGCCTTGTGCTCACCGCCAGATCACTGTCCCAAAACCTTGGCTGCAACTGCATCATACATGGCTGCTGCAACAATTAGAATTAGATGGACACGCAGAGTCACCACGGTAAGCCAGGGTAAAGACACTATGCCATGTATTCGTAAGGATGTACAATGCACGGCCGCGGATCACTTTCCGGTTGCTAGCAGCGTTTCTGGAAGTCTGGAAGATAGGGCGAGGGTAACGAAAAGATTGGGTGGATTGTCGAACCGCATCTCTGGTGTTTTGCAAATGCGCTCGCCGGGTTCCAGCCTGTCGGGGAAGCAAATTGGTCGCGGCGTAGGTGGACATGGTGACGCTGTCTTGGAGGTTAGTGAGTCTAGAGTCTAGGAAAAGTAGCTTCTCAGAAGTCGTGTGGTGGAGGGCCGGGGAAAGAGATGAGATGGAGCAGAATTCGACCAGCGTAACGGCGTGTGGCTGGGCAGTTCCTCTTCAGCGTCTGCTGGTTCCCTTTGGCCTTTAACTCTCTTGATTTCCGTATGAAGAGTTCAAGAACAGACGGGACAGCCTGTCGGGTTGCCTCTGGAATAGAGGGTTGCGTGGCTAGGGCCGGCTGGCGGCTGAGCGGGCACCAGCCTCCGCAACAAGGCACATCGCAGCTGGGCATGTCCAGCAGACGGCTCACCTGGGCAGACTTTCAGGCTGCATCCTGGGGGCCGAGGGAACTGGGCATCGGCATCCATCGCTTTCGACGGGCCTCTTTGGTCATCTGGATCATCTGGATAGTTGGGTCCGTTTTGCTGCCCAGCCTCACTTTGCCTTATCTTCTGGAGCCTGGAAGGTAAAGTCAGGAGTATGGATGCCAAATCATGTTGATCAGCTGGTGGGGAGTCGGGGACGCGATGGTCGAGATATTAGGCGTAACCTCGGGAGTTGAACCCAAAACGACGACAGAGTATGGATGCATCGAGATGCCGTGGGATGGTGGTGGTGAGTGGTAAGAGAGAATGTGTGTGTGAGAGGTAAGGTAGCTCGTCAGGAATGTGTGCCTATGCAAGTCAGAGGGGGTGGAGCGGTGATGTTCCCAACTAGCGGTCGTGAAGAGGTGAGATTGTCATGGGGAAAAAAGGTACATCGTGAGAAATGGAAGTTACAGGAAGAAGGCACCCTAAGGCGGTACGTACCCGACGGTTAGAGATGCGCGGAAGCCAGGTGGGAGGGGAAAGGTACTTGCAGACACAGCTCTACCACGTAGGTAAGACATGTACTTTTCGAAAGGCAGCCGACGGTCCGGCCCAAATTTGTCCCCGCAAGGGAAGCTGCGCCAGGGTGCACGTGTCAGCCCAACAGCCAAACGTTTTCCCTGTTTGATCGCTATTCTTACCTGCCACTGCCTTGCCTGCCTTGTCCTTCCCGGTCTTGCGCAGCGCTGCTGCATGTACCGCAGTACGGCGCAGACTTAGTTATTGAGCGGAAGCTGTGAAGAGCCCAGCTACGTAAGGTAAGAACAACCAGGCGGATCCATTGCTTCCCGCAGCTCGGTTCTGCCTGACGGGATGGAAAGTCCATGTCCAAGGGTAGGCAAGGTAAGTTGGTAAGGTATGTACTTCCTCCCTCGAGTCCCTTCCTTCCTTCCCCCTGGTCCCCCGTCCATCTCACCACAAAAACAATGTACCTAGAGCCCCAGAGCGGCGGCGACCTTGAACCCCCCAAAAAATGCCCATCCGTCCCATCGTGCGTGCGTCTTTGACCCCTCCAACCCCCCCCCCCCCCAGCAACAACAAGGCCCAAGTACCCTGCCCACCTCATGTTGCAGTCCGAGTACTTTAGTTACATCATCAGCTCACTGCCCGCCCGATCCTCCATCAACCAGCTGCACCGCACTCTCCCGTCGTCGCTTTCGACTCTCGCTCGACCTTGGATTGTGTTTCTTACACACATTCATCCCCTTCATCCACGCTTCACACCCACTAGTCCTCGACCCGGATATTTCTCTCCTGCCACCGGCTGCACTCGCGCGCACCCTCTCGCTCCTCTGGCGCGCATATTGACCGAGTCCTCATCCTGCGCCTACCAGCCTCGACTTGCATCCGCACGTATCCATCCGGCTTTGACTCACGGCTTGGCTTCAGCCTACTTCTGCCTCGCATCTCTCTCTTTCACACTCTCTCGTATGACGATGCTGTGGCGGCGGCCCGCACCCAAAGTACCTTGAGTTATTAGTAGCCGTTGAACCCTCAACTCAACCTTGCCCGCGCTCGCAGTCTTACGCTAGCAGCCTGAACTCTTCTCGAGCCTTTCAATATCAACCGAACTGGACGATAACTTGCGCTCCAAGTCGTTCATAATCCAAACGCCAGCTCGCTCCAGTCACTGCCTGCGAAGCCAAAGCCCTTTGCTTATCAGCAGCACACGCCACCAAAACCGTTATATTTCTCCATCCCGTCCAATCTCCACACTTTTGTCCCGGACATTCCTGCCCACAAAAACGCACCGTTGATGTAGACTTCGGCCCCGAATGGCGACGGCGACCGCAGAGGCCGACTCCAAAGAGTCCTCTGCTCATCCTCATCCTCAACCTCAGCCGCAGCCTCAACCGCAGGCCCAGACACAGGCTCAGAACCCCGATCCAAAGCCATCCTCCCCTTATGGTTATCTCTTCGGCCCAGACAAGGCTCCAACACCGATTCTCGATGCTCTCCTTCGCGCTATCGCCCAACATATTGTACGTCTGCGACAAACCCTGGCTTCCTCCACCTCGCTTCCACCCACCCATGGCCAAATACTAACTGAACCCCGCCTATCTATAGATTCGCGATATTGGCGATAGACATGTTCAAGCCTTGACCCCCCAAAAGCTGGCAGCCTTCTATAAGGCCGTTGGTGGTAACTATGACTGTAAGCCTGAATGCTCAACCTGTGCAAGGCACTCCATGCTGACGGCTCGTCGCCATAGCCCTATTTGTCGATATGCCATTTCCCGCCATATCCTACATTTGGCAGGTCACCGGCTGCCAGCACTCCATGCAGCCCTCCGACAACGACTTCGACGCCCCTTCCGTCCCAGCCTTGACCCTTCGTGGCTTCGTTCGATGGGAGTCGATCGAGATACTGCTGAGCCCCGAGGAACACGTACCTTTCATCCAGCAGGCCGTCAAGAGCTGGAACCTGAAGCATCCCGAGACGGGCGAACCCTTCCCCCCAGATCTACCCGCAGATGCACTGCCCAGCGAGCCAGACGCCGGAATCGAGAAATGGCACAAGAAATGCGCTGAAAAACTGAGGAAGGCAGCAGTGCCAGACGAGGAGCCGGCATCACCAAAGACTGCCCCTGCTCGCCCAGCAGAAAGAGACGAGCCGAGAGTGAAGGCAGCATACGTGCACGTCCGAAATCCCTACCCGCCCAAGGGATCACCGAAGCCCTCACCTCCGCCTCGTGGTCCTCAGGCAGACTACTTCGTTCCGCCAGGCCGACCACCAGTTGCTTACAGCCATGTTCCTGGGGGTCACGCCGCGAATCGGTACCCCCCATCTCGCCTCAATATTCCCCAGAGGACCCCAGACCAAGATCGATTCAGAGGACAGAACTCTCCTGACGACCGTCGACGCCGTAGCTTTTCCGACTACCCGTCTCCTCCACAGGATCCGCACGCCAACCCTGAGCACTTGCATCCCAATCGACCGCCCATGCAACCCCGCCGACACAGCCAGCCTCGACACTATTCTTCGTCCTCAACGTCTGATTCCGAGGACGCGGCGAGTCCGCGATCTAAACGTCGCCCTCATACACATCATTCAAACGAACCGCCACCACCCGGTTTCCGTCGTATGGGCGCTCCCTCGATACCCCAGCCGCCACCTGTCACTCGTGTACATCGTGCGGAATTAAGACCAGAGGATGCAAGGCGTCGTAGTATTCCAGTCGTAGATGGCATCAGGGAAAAAATCAGCGAGAAAGTGGCGTCCATTCTTCCCACTGGACGATCACCAGAAAGACATCGAAGCACCTCCGGTCGTCGAAGCGATCCACCATCTCGCCGAAGCCGAGAGCACTTGCCTTCATCTAGGCTCAACCGCAGTTGGCCCGATATTGCATCGGAGGACTCGGAAGCTTCAGACTCGGAAGAAGAGCGCCGCCGCCGATTCAAAGCCCGAGAACGTAGGGAACTGGAAGAAAGAGAGCAACGGGAAAGGGAGAGAGCTAGAGAGAGAGATCGCGGTCGAGAGCGAGACCGTAGACGCGAAAGAGAAAGAGAAAGAGACCGTGACAGAGACCCAGAACGCGAGCGTGACCGTGACCGCGTCGTGAACTGGGAGAGAGAAGAAGATATGGAGGCTCGTAAGCGAAGGGAACGGCCGGTCGTGCGGCCTGAAGCGACACGCCGAACGAGTAGCCATGCGGATGTGGACCGCATGCGAGGAAGGCCTGAGCCTCCATGGGATCCTCGGGATCCCCGCGATCGGGAACTGAGAGATGATAGAGATAGAAAGCGATGGAGAGAGCGCGGGGGAAGCCCGGTCATCTCTGGCGTTGGGGGGCGACAATACCCAGCTCCGCCGATGCGGAACTAATTCCATCATGAGGCGCACTGGGTTTAGCGGGTTGTTTTGAGCGATTTGATGAGTTTTGAATTTCGGATGGGTAATTCAGTTGGGCATAACGGCATTTCCACTTCCACTTATGTACGTACACCTGGCTCCTCTACCGAAAGAGTGCACACAGGGCAATGAGACATGATATCACTACATCGGCTCGCGATTTGTAACATTTTTCTGGTTGATCAACATAGGTGACAGCTTAGGTACACATACAAGACGCCTATGCCATTCTGGCGTTATTTCCACTGCCTTCCCAATGCCATCGCTTGATCATCACTCCCTTCATCTCCAAGCAAATTCAGTTCCTTCCGTCAATAAAAGCCCTTTGGATCAGATATCTTTCCGTTCCAATCATTGATAGTTGCGACGGGGGATTCCAGTCATGTACTTGAGCTTGGAGGTCCACTCAACACCAGTGGGAGGCCAGGTAGGCTCCGAAACGTAGTCTCCATCGTCCTTATCGGCGTCGGGCATATCCGAGTCGTGACTGTCGTAGTCAGGCTCATCTTCAGCCTCCTCAAGCTCAGTCTCTCCATCCTCCTCCATGTTATCAGAGTTCTCGGGAGGCATGTCCCACGAGAGAAACGGCGAAAGGGGTTCACTGCGATGAACCGGGCCTGGAATCGAGGACTGCATGTTACCATGGGTTGAATCGTTGCTGCTCTCGGAGACGTCGCTGACATGTCCATGGTCGGTGCTCAGGCTCGATGACGAATGAACATGACCCGCATCCGACGACTCGTCGCCCTCGGAGACGTCGCCATAATTGCCGGGGTGCGGGCTCATGCTCATCGGCGAAGGATACGCATCGCCGGGGTCCGACTCACTGCTGCTGTCGGAGACGTCGTCGTCATCGCCACCGTCGGAGCTCATGAAGACGTCGCTCGCGTCAAAGAGCTTCTTGTTCTTCTCGTTTTCGCGGACAAGGGCGCGGAACTCCTTCTTAAGGCGGTTGCGTCTCTTGCGCCGGGCGATGGCGTTGTCGTTCTCGTCGTCGTCGGTCCAGTCTGAGCAGCCGGCGAGGGGGGAGAGCTCGCGGCTCACTTTTCTGTCTTTGAGCTGCTGGCTGTTCTTTCCCTCTTGCTTCTTCGACTTTTGCGCAAGCTGAGACTGGGACTCAGTCTGGGTCTCGGTCTGAGTCTTGGTATGAGTACCATTTTCATGCTCCGCAAGCTTCTTCAGGAATGTGTCGATGTCCTTGATGAAGACTTGAAAGTCTCCCAGCTTGTGCCGGTCCTCGAGCCTCGCGGGGGCGATCTCCTTGCCTGCGCCGGTGAAGGTCAAGGGATTTTCGATGGACGTGCGGTTTTTCTTCTCCGAGTCTTGAGGCCCTCCTCCTCCTCCGTTGGTTCGGCGGCGACTGCGGGCTTGGCGGCGGGCGACGCGGGCGTGGTAGGGGCACTTCTCGCCGTCGCGGGTGACGATTCCGTCTTCCTCCTTGCAGAGGGGTGAGGCCGAGCCTTGGGCGCACTTGTGGTAGAACAGGGCGTTGAGGACGCAGCCGCAGGCTGTGTAGTATTTGTAGACGCGGCGACACATCTTGGGCTATTGGTATTCGTATACTGCAGTAATTTTGTCAAAGGGCGGGGGGTACTATTTGGTGAATCAAAACAACTTTTTTGCCCTTGACTTTGACTGCCTGATTTCGTATGCTGATCCTGTATCGTTTTTTACAGAACGTTTCGTGGCGAGGCAAAGTGTTTCGTTTTTTGCTGAAGTGAACAAAGCGGATAAGGTAAACAAGGTGAAGGTATCGTGAGCAAAGGCCGAGGTGAATGCTGGCAAAACCTAGTAGTTGTGAGCTACTTCCCTTTTTGGAAATAATACTTCTTTCCACACCTGGAAACGACTGACCTTGGATTCGGAAAAGGCTGGCTGACCAAGAATAAGGTAAAAGAATGGCGGTAGTGAATCACACTTTGTCGATTTACCATCGAAGCAACTGGTTCACCTTCAGGTTGGGGCTTGGATCACCACTCGCCTTTTGTGAAGGTGAAAAAGAGAGCGGTCAAAGGCCAGACTAAAAAGAGAAGGAATTTGAGAGGTACAACTGGTGGAAGGAGGAATAAGGCGCAAGATTGAATATAGGCCCTCCTTTTGCGCCTGAGAGGCTTCTCACCATCGAGGGACGCGGGCCCATTGTGTTCAAGGCAGCGCTCAAAGACTTGGAAGGTAGTATCTTGGGACGAATTTGAGGCAGAATGCTTCTGCTAACTCTATCATTAGTTATTAAGCAAGGGAACTATAAAAAATATGAAATATGTCCTCTCTAGAGACACCAAAGCCATAACCAAATCCCTAGGATTCCGATATTCAAGATCCAGCCCCTTATGACGTTCAAATGTTTAATCCTCATGACGGATATGGAAGTGAAAGGAGAGGCGATGTCCAGCTCGAAACTGATAGAACCCGTCTAGGGAATATCTCGCACCTCTTGCAGCTCGAGAATCAACTCATTTAGGATCTCACCTTCTGCCCCCTTTCCAGATCCCCTCCCTGGCTCTCCTCGTCCTCCTTACTCGTATCGTCGCTCGTAACCAATCTCTGGTCCGTGACGTGCTCCTGTTCCAAGCTGTACTTCTTGACCGTAACGCTGATGAGCATGCAGAAGCCGCCAAACGCAATCAAGCTAATCCAAATCGCCCGCAGCGCATCGCAATACGCCTCCACCAAGTCCGCTCTCATCGCATCGCCCTTTGGCATCCTCTTAATCACCTCGACCACAATCGTCGCGTCACGCGAGTACTCCTCCGCAACGTCCGCCAGCGAGGGGATATCAAGCAGCCTGTTGCGGAACGCATTCTGGAAAATAACGCCCGAGACGGCGACGCCGACGGATTGTCCAAACGTGCGCAAGAAAGAATAAAAGGCGGCGGCTTGCCCGTTGAGGGCGGGCTCGCAGGCGGCCTGGATCGAGAGCGCCATGGCCGGGAAGAGCATGCCCGTGCCGAGGCCGATGGGAATGTTGAGCCAGATCCAGGCGGGGACGGAGGTGTCGGGGCGCATGAGGCACATGAGGCCGGCGCCAAAGGTGATCATGACCCAGCCGGCCCAGAGGGACCAGCGGTACCGGCCCGTGACGCCGGCGATGAGGCCGACGGCCATGGCGGAGGGCGCGACTGTGAGACTTTCTGGGAGGGCGGCGATGGCGGAGACGACGACGGAGTAGTCCTTGACGGCTTGGTAGTAGAGGACTGTGAGAGAGGAGTAAGCCTGGGGACATCCTATGAAAAGGGGTAGAGATAGGGGAAGGGGGGTTGCTTACCAAGGAAGTAGAGAATCGACCAGAGAATCATGCCATGGAAAACGGTCATGATGTAGTTGGCGACCATGGTCCAGTTGTTGAAGATGCCCTTGTCGATCATGGGCACTGGCGCAAACTTCAGCTCCCAGAACCCAAAGGCCACAAGAATGAAAACGCCCAGAATCATCGGCAGCAGACACCTGAAGGAGGCCCACTCATACATGACACCGCCCGTCGAGATGCCAAACAGGAAACTCGTCGAGCCCGCCGTGAACAAGAAGCTCCCGAGCCAGTCAAACTTCTTGAGCTTGGTCCCAATGTGACCGGGCACCTTGGCCTGCTTGAGGAAGAAGAAGATCATAACCGCGCCGATGGCGATGATGGGAAGATTGATCCAAAATATCCATCTCCATGAGATATTCTGCGCGAATCCGGCGCCGATCAGGGGCCCCGTGACCGTACCGACAGACCAAACGGCCGACAGGAGCGAAAACCATTGGCCCCGCACCGCGAGCGGGACGAGATCCGTGATGATAACCTCCGTGAGGGCGAGGATCCCCCCGCCGCCCACGCCCTGGATGGTCCGCCCCGCGATGACGACGTGGAAGTTATTGGCGAGGGCGCCGACGATGGAGCCCGCGGCGAAGAGCAGGGCTGAAACGTACACGAGGGCCTTGCGCCCGAAGATGTTACTAAGCCCGGCAACGGTGGGCTGTAGCACCGTGCTCGCGAGGAGGAAGCTCGTGCCGGACCAAAAGGCCTCGAGGGCGGTTCCGCCGAGGGCGACGCTCATTGTCGGGAGGGCGACGGAGAGGGTTGTTGCGTCAAAGGCGACGGCTAAGGCGATGGCGCAGAGGGCGCTGAAGGCAAGGAGGAACTCCCGTGAGGGTTTGAAGACAACCTTGCCATTTTGGTCGATTTGGGTGGTTTGTTTTTCCAGCACCACTGCTGGTGTTTCTGTTTGTGTTGCAGACATTGGTAGAAATGTGATTGTGTTCGAAATCCGAGGTAAAAAAGGGGTCACCACCGGATCTGACTCGTCTCTAGCCAGCGGTATGTATTCTTATTGAACTGCGATAACAAGATGAGTTCTCTTGAACCGATATTGTGAATCAGTCAAGGGCCTTTCCAATAGCCTTATATGACATTCAATGTGCCCAAGCCAAGGCTAGACTGGTCATAAATGAGATTTCGCCCAACAGGCCCGCTCCGTTGGGAAGCCTTACGCCGGTGCGGCTCAACCACCGTCGAGGCCACGTTGGTAGGGCGCCGTGAATGGCATCATGAACGACCGAGTGCGAGCCGGCCGGCCTATCATTACGTCTGTACTGATTCACCATCCACGCAAAGTCCGAGCAAGTCATCATCTCTCCGCCGCCGAGGAGCCAAGTCCGCAAAAGTGCAAGGCATGAGAGTAGTCCGGCTGGGTCCGTACAACCGGATTAAGCACCGGCTTAGAAGCGGGTGTGGTGTTGTTAGCGCAAGTTTTGTTGGTTCGTACGTGCTATAGCAGGTGAGTCGGCCGAAATATTATGCCGAAGGGAGCGGGAGGCTGACCGGCATAACGTTCGGGGTGTTGTGGGGCCTAACCCGGCTGAAGGATCCGATGCATTGGCCAGCACCTTAAAGTCGTGATGCGGTTATTTCCCCCTACGCATACCTTAGTAAACGATTGCGAAAAGGAGAGAAAATGCCAGTTGATGTTCAGGAGGTAGAAGTTGGAACCCTTTGCGGACAGGACAAGATCTGCAAATAATTAGCGGCTTGCGCCATCGTGGGTGATGGCATTCCACTCCTCTAAACACCCTGAGCAGCATCTTGGGACAATACACTGCCGGGTCCTCACTCTGGTAAGTCAGGCTTGCTTTATCGTTCAGGTATCCGGACTCACCCGACTCTTACCCTCAGCATCTTGAAATTTGGTCACGTCGGGGTTTGGGGCGAAGGAGAGCTCGGCCGTTGCTGACGTATCTCCTGATCTTCTACGCCCAGGTGACTTTCAAGCAAGTACACGCCCGGCTTGTGACCGGCTATCTCCGAGGCGGTACAATAACCAAATGTGATTGGTCTGCCAGATCAGAAATGGGTATTTGCATCAAGGCGTCCAGCTCGGGCTTTTCGGGGACAGGGGAAATTCACCGAGTGGGGACTTGAATCATTCACCAGATATAATGTGTCGTCTTCTCAGGTTGTCTGATGGAGTGACTGAATGACAGAGGCTACTCTTGCTCAAGTCATATCGTGACAGCAGTTCTCAAAGCTTCAGAAATGGCAGGAGTTTTCAAAAAGTCGCTTTCGGAGCGACGTCAAGGCTCGCTTATCCGGAAAGTCAATGGGATCGCCCTGGCATTTAGATATCTAGACAGCCGCTTAGCCGAAGGGCCGGGAAGGTGAACGCCCGCTGTGAATTTTGCCCAACGTCCAAACGGCCTGGCCTAACTGGCAGGACGTTTTTGAAAGCCTTGCTACCTGACGAGTAACGCTCCTCGAATGTAAGCAGGGTAATGGCGAGAGCGGTCGTATGTTTTCATGGTATTAAGCAGGCGAATGCTGTTTAATTCGAAAGAGATAACACTTCGCTAGCCCCATTGCCGCAAATTGACTTCTCAACGAACTAGCATATTTCCTCAGATCTTGTGTTTGGCCGCCTTGTTGGTGAGATTCTAGCAGGATCGTCCGATTTATGAAAAGTATAATCAAAGCCAAATTTGCCAAGAGCCACAGAGGCATCGGTGGGCAAAACTAAGTGTCAAACTTGTCAGAGGAGAGGTTGACCTGTGGACGAGAAATTCTCCGCGCATCCCGGCGGCGTTCCGGCAAGTCCTGAAGTTTGACTAGAGAAAGGTCTGCCCACCCTCCCATATATCGGCTTCCAGGAGCAGCAATTCTCGCTCAGAGCTGACTCTGCGCCCCCTATGACGAACCTTGACTAGGCGACGAAAGTGTGCAGTTCTGAACCGATATGCTCGGTTTTCTTCCATCAACACAGTTTCCTGATTGAGAACATGCGCCAAAAACCTCGTTTAACAGGATGCCGTAACATGGGAAGCCGGAGAAGGCCGCCATGGGTCCCTAAGCTTAGGCAGTCCTAGTAACCTTGCGCATCCTCGCAAGCCTCCACGACCCTGACAGATTGACAATGACAGCCGAAAGAAGGATTTGGGGCCCAGGACCTTGAACCCCGCCGGCGGGTCGTTCATGTGCGAGTTCTTCGGAACGAATTTGATAGTTGCCTTGGCGTCGGGGTACCGTTGATGTGTGAACATTCAGACCGCAGCTGTCTGGACTCGCGGATCTTAATCGCACTCATTCGAGACTCATGTCGTGTTGCAACGCAGCTAAACAATTTCTATCGTGTTTTCGCGCACATCGAGCCCATCTCACTCAGCGCTTCGATAGTTTGCCCTTCAATTGGATCAAATTAGCAATGACTTCTCGCTGTACCTGGTTGATGAAAGAAGTCGCGCGCTGGAGACCCGCCCTCGGACCCTCGAATTAGAAACTCATAGTGACAGATGTCAAACGGCATAGGCAAGTTGACAGCGGGGAGATACGGGATACGGGATTGAGAGCGTTGCTGCATCGGTGCGTATTCTGATGCATGTCAATCTGTACGGCCATCCCAGGATGCCGTCAAAGTAGGTCAGCGACCCACGCTGACGATTGAGATGGACGAAAGGTGACAGTTTATTGAAGTCAGAAATAAGCTCGCCGCCTCCCCGACGTTGGAAGTGGAGAACTGGTAGATCCTAAGATCATCGTAGGGATCCACTGAAGACAAGCAAGCAGCAAATGGATGATCCTCGCTTCCATTAGTGCAGTTTATATAAGCAAGCTGGTACCATGTACATACATACACCTCCCATCAACATACATCCTTACTTGCCCAAGACATCCAAGAAGAAAAGAAAAGAAAACAACAACGACGACACGAGTGTCAAATCTCTCATGGAATTTGATAGCCCGGGATTAACCTCTTTCGGGCATCGCCGTGATCGTTTTCGACATATCAAGTGGACGTACTCGTGTGGATCGAGACGCGTCGGCGTTATAACACGGCGCTACTCAGACTGGACAACCATCACCCCGCAAGATGCCGAGCGGGTTTCTGTCTCTTTCCACGGACTTCACGATTTCGATTCGAGTCTGTTTCCATCACGGGAGTCAACAGGGCTTTTGACTCTACGTCGTGAATCCCGACAACCACGACAGAATTTCCTCATTAGGATGCCCATGATCGGATGAAACGATCCCATCAGCCACGATGACGAATGGCTAAATCTGCTTCGCGCCGTCAAGTGTCGCGTGTGTGTGGACAACCACCCGACAACCAAGCCGTCGGAACTGAAGATTCAGCAAACACTGATCTACGTCTGCCATTCGACTCGTCAGCAGCAATGGAACCCTGTCGACCGTAGGAACCTGCTTCGTGATATCGAGGAACTAATTAGCCCGCCAGCGGCCCGCAGAGTGTAGAACCGCTTGCAGGTTGACGTGCTCAGCCCCGCCCCGCGGAATTCGAAGATTCGCCATATCCAATGCTGACAGCCTATCTGTCGTTAATTGGCTTGCTTCCATTCTGGAGCTGGAGTCGGAGCCGAGTGTACGATGCCAGAGCAAGAACCCTTGCATCAGAATCAGTGATAACCATTACCAACGGCGGCGCGTCATCGCGATCAGACTTCGCCGAATTCTTGGTATGAACCATTTGCGTTTGATTGTTGAGATTGACAGTACTCTCAACGGCTTTCTAGTGGTCCGTCACGCGAACCTTTTGCACGACAGTCGGTGAAAGTGCCCTACAAGGCCACTACCACGATGCAGAGCACATACGCACACACAGTCGCTGACACCTGTCTGAGGTGCCATCCATCGACCGGCTTGCCGAAGAGCCGGGTTCTTCCCTACATGATCGACACAAGGACCCCAGCCGTTGACCACCTCTCACGGTACATTTCATTTGCCGTCTCAAACAATGTGCGCACGAGCGGATGGGACCACCCTTGATCACCAACTTCGACGAATCGTCAGGGCTTAGCGGTGCATGAAACAAACCTTCCGAAAGACCAGACAGCATAGGCTACAAGCTGTCCAATGCTAAGACCACCGAGATCGCCCTCCACCAACGGCGCGGTACTGATTGAGCATTTTGAGCTCTTGCTATTTGCCAACGCGTCAAGTTGCTACCACAGAGTTTCGTAGAGCGTCCCATCGGTGATCCAGCCCCTCCGCTGTTCTTTCTCCGAGCAGGCATACAGCATGTTAACTCAGCCTTAGAGGTCCGTATTCCAATGAAGGATATGTGGTTCATCGCTATGACATAGGAGCTTCTACCCCTCCATCCCGCTACCTGTCTCTGTTGTCTTCTCTTGTTGTGACTCGACAGTTGGCCTCGGGACTTTATGCTTTTGTTCCGAAATCTTGTGAAAAAGAGCTTGACCCCTCCCAGCTCACCTTCGGAGCAGCCTCCTGCACACTGTTCTACAGATTCCCTTTGCAGTACCAACACTGCCCAATACGAATATGGTGAATACGGGAAAGCCCTCCGGCGGCTGCAAGTTGTGCAGAGCTAGGAGGATCAAATGTGATGAGGGGAAGCCATTCTGCATGAGATGCAAGAAGTCGCGGCGGCAATGTCCAGGTTACCGAGATCCGTTCGAGGCCAACATTCGCGACGAAACGCAGGCGACTATCAAGAGATTCAAGAAGTCTAGAGGTGAAGAGAGTTCTGATGAAGAAGGCAAGGATATCGCGCCCGTTTGCAACAAGCAGTGCTTGAAGACGGTTGCTGGTCCAAAATACAAAACGTTCGATTACTCGAATCCCGGCGCTTTTCCTTATCACAATGACGACGATTCGACCGAAGAAGACGAAGACATTCCGGCGTCCATGTTCAATTCGCTGGATGAGCAGGCCTCTTGCTACTTCCTCTCGGAATTCATCATTGTCCCGTTTACTCCCACGGCCCGAGGATACTACCGGTTTCTCCCTCGATTCCTGAGCGGAACGAACGTCTCCAAATGTCTTTCCCAAGCTTACAAAGCTGTCTCTCTGGCTGCGCTGGCCAGTCGCCGTACGGTAAATGCCAGTGCCGCTCTGTTCCATGCTCAGGGTCACTATCTAAGGGCAGTCCGGGCCGTCAACAAAGCTATAATGGACCCAGGAGAGGTGTTGAATGACCAGACTCTTGGGGCCGTGCTTATGCTGGCTTTCTACGAGGTGAGTCTGTTAGTGTGGACATTTTATAAGACTTCACGCTAACAAGCGGAAGATTTTGACATCTTCTCGAGACTCTATCGCCGAGTACACCAACCACATGAAGGGTGCGGCAATCATCGTCAAACTAAGGGGTCAAAAGGGTCTCGAGACACCGGAAGGCGAAGAGATGTTCGCAATCACCCGGAACCAGTGCCTCTCCATTCACTGTCTTCCAAACTCTCCCGAAGTATCCGAATTCACATGGCTTCTGCATCATGAATGCCGTGGTCGTATGCAGCACGCCATCGCTAGCATGGATATCCAGAGCAGTCAAATTCGACAAGATGTTGATCGGGTTCTCGGAGCGGGGGATCGCAAGCCAGAGACAATCCAGAAGGTGCTCGATGCCCTTAAGCGCGCACAAGCGTTGGAGGCTAAATTCCGCAAACTCAACAATGATCCCAGCCCGCAGTGGAAAGTCGATACGGTGGAGTGGATACTGGAGCGATCCGACGACGAGCTCGATACGACCCCAACGTTCCCAGGGCCTGTTTACGGGTTCTTCAACTTGCCTCTCGCAATCTTGCATGTGGCCACATGGTGCTGCCATCTGATGCTCACCACAACAATCCTGCGGTGCATGGCCTGGCTTGTGTCCCCCGACGACTACCGGATGGGAGAGGAGTATGAAGAGCTGAAACGCTCGGCCATTCTGCGTATTGAAGACACCATCGCTTCAACTCCTTTCTTCTGCAAATGGAATGGCTACGGCGTGGTCGTAGCTCAGTTCCCCTGCGGCAACACCAAGCCAGACGACCCTTTGAAGGGAGCTGCTGGACTGATGGTCTTGTGGCCCATGGTCACGGCTTGCAGCAGCGACTTTGCGACTCCCAGACAGAGACGCTTCCTGAGGGGTCGTCTCAAATATTTGGCAGAGGTCGCCGGAATCAGGCAGGCCAATGTTTTCTACAATGTAAGTAGTGAAAGCTACCCCGGGAGCCCTGCAATTTGCTAATGAGCATGCCAGATGCACGACATCTCTTCTCCATCCCGAGAAATCGAGCGAGACCGCAGAACTGGCGTCCATTCATCTTCTGGGGCGGGCGCCTTGCTAAGCATGCCCTTTTGATATCACACAACACGTACAGACGAAATGAAACGGTCATTTCTTCCTACAGCGAGACGAGGCCAGCGATTATTTCAACTTTCCACATCCTTCATTCAAATCACATATTTTTTACAGTGCCAGCGTCAGCGACTCTTACATTCCTTGAATTTTGAAAACTGTACAGGATTTCCCTCACGTTGCTATGATTGTTACGGCCAAAGTTGCAGTTGGTGCGGTGTACATCATCCGAGAGGCGGCCTCTGGAGGCTCCGCTTCCCGCGCGGTGTTGATTTTCTAAAGACAGATGCTTTTTTTTTTTTTTTTTTTCTCTTTTTTTTACGTCTTTCGGGTCCATGCGGGTTTCTTTTACATCATCAAGCGCTCGTTTCATGCCTCGTTGATTCCAATTTCGTTCAATGTAAGCGGGGAGCGTAGCGTAGGATTTGGTCTCATTGTATTTCTTCTTATTTTATTGGGTTTGGACGGGTTAAGTAGGGTAGGAAAGCGATAGGCTTAGATGACTGAGCACGACTTCACGACGATTAGCATGAGTTTGATGTAAGGGCAAACTTTCGTTGCCTGTCCAGGAGACTGAGATCCCTCAGAATTTTACAGATGACATACTATGCCCAAGACGTATCCCACGCGTGACGTTCCAGGTCCTACCTCAATCTAGCTTCAAAAAGGAGACAAGGTAAACCGACATGACCAGCCACATACAAGGCGTATCCGTGGGGAAAATAGCATTCCCAAAACGCCAAACATTCTGTTATCCAACAACTGTGAACCGATACATCACCAGCCTCTCCCAACGATATCTTTACCACAACTCTCGAGCAACACTCACTCACCTCCCACGCCGCCCAACACCGATTCTCTCCTCCCTCGTCCGTCCCCCACGGCCCCCATCCCCCGGCGTAGGCGTAGTCTGCACCCCGCCGCCGCCGCGCCCGCTCTGGCCCCTCTGCGCCCTCATCATCTCCTGCTGCCTCCTGAGCAGCTCCCGCTGCTGCACCTCGTCGTACTCCAAGCTGTCGTCGACGTCGACGTCCGCCGTGAGCATGCTATCGTCGTCTAGACTCTGTTGCTGCTGCTGCTGCTGTTGTTGCTGGAGGCGTTGCATCTGCTGTATCTGGTGGATCTGAGCTTGCGTGTACCTTTGCTGGGGATGCTGCGGCGAAGATTGCTGCGGCTGCGGTACGGGTGACGAGAAGGGATGCTGCTGGTGCTGTGCCTGTTGCTGCTGGAGGACTCGCTGCTGCTGGAGCTGCTGCTGTTGGGCGGCGAGGGCGGCTTGGTGTTGTTGCTGCTGCTGGGCCTGGACGAGGACCTGCCTTTCTCGGACGATGGCCTCGCGGGCGCGGCGGTCTTCGTAGGAGGCGATGTCCTCTGCCGTTATGGCGAGGGTTGTTGCGGGGCGGCGGAGCATGACTTGTGTGTGTGAGATGGGGCTGGCGTTGTATTTTACTGCTTCTCTTCTGCGCGGCCTTTTGTTGACCGGAGATGTGCGATGAGGCGGGGGGTTTCAAAGAGGCGATTCAGTGGGTGAAGGAATGCGCGAGTGAGTGAGTGAGTGACAGGCACCCGTTTGAATTGAGCGCGGGATTGTGGGGGCGGGAGGTGGTTTAGGGTGCCGTGTGTATGTGATGAGATGTGATGAGTGATGTGAGGCCGGTGGATGATGGAGCTGTAGCCGGGCGGGAAGAGAAGAGGGGGTGCCTGGCTCGATCCTTTCTGCGGGATGAAGGGTAGTAGACTGACGTCCCGGAGCTGAGAATTCGGGAGCGTTGTATTCGGGAGCGTTGTATTCGGGAGGAATGAGAGTTCGTCCAGAGGCGATGATTGATAAGGTAGCCTAGAGTCGTGGTGTGCGTGATAAGTGACGAGTGAGCGTCGTCGGATGAGTCCGTCAAAGTGCCAAGTGAGTTCGCGGCACGGGGGTGCAGCTGAAGACGACGACGGGGGCGGAAATCTGCAACGGGATGTGATGCGATGGTATGCAAGGTACGGAAGTACGTAAACTCGGTGAATCGGTTCGTGGGGGTGGTGCGTTAGTTTCTCTCTATGTAGCTGAGAAAATGTCGTGGAGCTGATATGCAAGTCGAGTCGTTGAGATTTTGGGTTTCCTCTTTTGCTAAAGTTCAGCGCGACCCTGGCGGGACAGGCGACGGCGCGCGTTAAAAAAACATCCATGAATGGTTCGGGTGGATCAAGGCTCAAGCCGGGGCGATCCGTGGTGGTGGTGGGGGGATGCGTGGGTGCCTTTTTCATAGGGGCCGGCGTTGGCTGCAGTGAGCTGGGTCCACTGTTCCGGCTCAAGCGGGGGGGGGGGGGGCTCGGCGGCGTTGGATGACGCCCAGGTCCCTGTGCAGGTGGGAGGAGGGCGGTACTGTAACTGTATGCAAGTCAGCCCTAGGGGATTCGAAATATGCATCTCGTTGCGACGTTGCGATGTTGAATTGTTGGTGCCTGTTTGACAGAAGTTCACTTTGGTGATCTTCTTAGGCAAAGGAGATGTCAGTTTCCATGGGATACCGACAGAGGATGAGAGGGATTCACAACGCCATACAAGGTAAGTTGGTTGTAACATTACAATACTACTTTAGATACCTAGGTGTTCAATTTTACTCTAATCCTGATCCCGTGCCGGCAGATGTCGCTCAGTAAATGCCCGTGGCATAGACATTCTCCGCCTCCCATCGCAAGAAATCCCCGAGGTCGTGTCCCAAATTGTATCCCATAGGCACAACCTCGGGCTCCCCATCAGAACCTCTCATCATGACCAGGTCCATCATCGGACTAGGCGGCAGGCTTCCGATACTCTCCCGGTTCTGCCGTTTGGGGTGCTGTTGCTGGCCCTCCATCGTCCACCGCCGAATGTTGCACCCTTGCGTCAGGAACTTGGACACGTTGACGTTACCCTCGTTCCAGAACCCAGTAGGGTGCTCAGCCTTCACAGGAATGGGCAGGTCGCTGTCCCGCGAGACTCTGCCAAAGGACTTTGGCGAGCAGTCCACGGTGGACGCGCGGGACCTTTGTTGCAGCCGCCTCGTCGGCTCATCGGCGTCGCTGGTGAGCAGGCGACCGTGGCTGTCGAAGCCGAAGCCGTCGAACCACGCTGTAAGGTCGGCAATCTCCTCGGCCTCTGTTCTCTGCAAAAAATCTGCGGGGTCTGAGAAGAGGTCGCCCGCGCCGCCGAGGATGGCCATTTGGAAGGCCGTCCAGTCGAGCGTATCATCGGGGTCGATTTTCAGCCCCTTGACGACTTCTGACTTGGGAAAACGTATGTTGCCGTGTCTGAAGCCTGAATGATTGAACGTGAATGGTGTTGATTGGAAAAAGATGAAATCGTCTTCGTCAACGAGTGCGAATGTTCGTGCGTGCCTGTTGCTGTGTTTTGCTGATTGGCCTCCTGCGTCGGGCGTGGTGACGACTACTTCGGGAATCGTCGGTAACAGCGGCGCCTGCGGCCTAGGAAGAAATCTCGCCGGATTCTTTGCTGGTGGAGGAGGAGCAGCCTGCGTCGGATCCTCAGCCTCGTATTCATCCTTGGACACAGGCCTCCTTCTCCGCGGTGACTTTTCCTTGAAGGGCAAGTCTCGTAGTACACTTGGGTCGAGAAGCTCGGGTGGAGTCATAGCCTCAGAAGGCGTGATGAAGGTCTTTGCCCCAGCTGCTCCAATGCGAGAAAGGAGGTCTTGTAGGTGAAAGGGCTCAACGGGCGTCTCGCTTCCATCCGTGCTTACAGTCCTCAGAGTATCGCTCGATCGACGTGGCTGTCCTTGAGACTCCCTCTCCACTCGTAGTGCATGGAGACGGTCCGGTGTAAGAAGCTCATCAACTTCTACTTTACGGAAGAATTGTCCAGTGAGGATGTCGGCTACATCTTCTCCCAGCTGCCATCGGGCAGACTTCTTCGATCTCATCTTGACCCGTTTTGATTTTTTTGACTTTTGTCTCCTCGGCTTCGAAGAAGATGACACCGAGGTGCTCAGCGATGGAGGAGGCAGCGCTGGGGTGCTGTTTCGAGACTGTAGACCCAGCAGTGGAAGGCTTGGTGAGTCAGGCTTCGCCATGTTAGCAGGGGTTGGTGATGTCGACCCAGAGCCCGTCTCGATATGTGACGGGAAAGTTGAAACGGCCATCTTCGCTTCTTCGATTGCTGTTCCTACGGCCTTGAAGGCTTCATCGGTTTCTCTGATGAGTTGCTGGACATTGAGGGACCAGCGGTCCAAGTCGTCGTCTTCTGGGGTAGGTGGAGGGGTCATGGCCTCTCTGAGCGCGGGATGTTCTGATAGATCTATGTCGCCAGCCTCTTGAGCCTTGATGACCGCTTCTGTCGACAGTGGTCTGGGCTTTCTGCTTGGAGGTGGTGATAGAGGGGAGATGCAGAGGTGTCGACGTTCGGCGAGACGTTTCGGGGCCGTTGATCGAGAGGGCCTCTCTTGGAGTCGAGGGGAACAAAGAGTGCCATAGCTGGTGTTGGTCGAGGATGTGTCTGTATAACACTCGCAACTGCACAAAGAACTCGACGACGAATGTGGTGATCCCTGTGGGCAAGATGGCCCCTCTGTCGGTATCCTCTTGATGCTTTGTGTTCTTCGTACGAGCGTCTCCTCCCTCGATGGTCTTCTGGGCTTGGGGTTGGATGGACGCCTGACTGGCGCCCAAGACTTTGATTTTTGTTGTTTCCTTCGAGACTTGAACAGTGAAATATCCTCGCTTCCAACAGAGTCTCCGGAATGACGGCGCTCATCTATCGTCTGAGACCGGCGAGGTGAGATAAGCCTCCGTATGCTAAAGCTCGACCGAGACATCCTGTCGAATACTTGGGCGTACAAAGGGAATTCATGCAGCAGTTCAAGAACAGTATGGGTTCACCACGTCTAGTACATGCCATATATGATAATACGAAAGGGGAGGGGAGGGAATATCTTGCAGTCCTTAACGAGTGACGTGACTGGGAAGGAGATCCATGACCGGGGGAGTGAGCCCAAGGACAAAGGGGGAAGGAATAATAGATGCCATCTGGAGACATGGGCAGAGACCGAGGACTGGCTTGTATGTATGTTGTTCTGGATCTGCGCGTAGGACAAACAAAAGCAAGCGAGTCGGGGCCATCTTGGACCAGCTGATGATTGTGCCCGTACCCAATACAGTACCTATCATGGTCGGATTGGGGGTGTTAGTCAGGGAGACTATCAGCTTGGGATGGGCAGATCTACTTACCCATGGACAATGACAGGTAGAGGGTGGTAATGGAAGTGGTCGTGTGTGTGTGTGGTGCGGTGCGGTGCTGTGTATGCATGTTGCGGCGGTGCAAAAAGCCAACCTGGCCCCTGTCTGGTCGTGCAGGCAAACTGCGTGAGAGCGGAGGCTGCAGAGTCGTGTCTTGTCAGTCCGGCCGGGGGTTGCTCGCTGCCCGGCTCCCGTTATTTTGGTATTCAGCCATTGGTTATGTCTGTGGGTTGCTATTACTGGCTTTTGTGACTTTCAAAAGTACAATTCTTCTCGAGGGGGGGCGGGAGACTTCTCCGGAGGGATCTTGGGGTGGTAGGCGGCCCCAGAAGGAGGGTGGCATCGCATCTGTTCATCGCCGGCCTTTCCAGCGTGAGATATGTGATTGTTGCGAACAAATGAATCCATATTGCTTTGCTGTTATGTTTGGAACACCTTGTCGCCCTCTTCAATCTCGTCTTCCATGTTTCCCTCCCCAGTCCCATCGAGCATCGTGCAGTCAGCCTTATGAAGTGATTGACAGCGAAGCCATCGAGACAATATGGAACATCGTGGCCGGTACAGAGCGCGGGATTCAGCAGGATTCGCTCCATCTTACTATTGGCGCTGGTCGTCGTACTGAACGACAAACCATCGGTCAGCTGCATTCTAGAGCGAGATGCAACTCGATAGAAGTACTCGCCGTACGACGACGCGGGCGGCGACGTGCAGAGAGGAGCAACCAGTTGGATGTAATCCGGCCCGTAACCCTGGCACCTACTTGCCAGCCACGACCGAGGGTTTTGCGAAAGCTCGAAAGTAACGAAAGCAGGAGAAATAGCAAGCTGTTCAACGTCCTGACAAGGAAAACGACGGCTGGTGCCCAGAGAGCACAACATATTGCCAGCGGAAAACGTCGAAACGGTAACAGCTCGCTCCCAGGAAAGCCATGGAACCGGGCCGTGCCCTGCTCGCCTGGGGTAGCTAGGATTGACCGGCCATGCCGCAATCTCGAGAATGAAAAGTCGGTGGTTGCCAGCGAACTGCTGACCGATGACGATCTTCCGGATGGATGCCTTCAAGTGCCGAGTCTCACCTCACTCTCACCGACCGGCGACCGGTAAGCACTTGCTTGGCCGCAGTTGAGACAGCAGCGACTCGCTGCTTCCAACGAGTGACTATTCCCGTATCTTCCAGGTTGGTGTGGGCAGCGCAGCCCTCCAGGACAAGCTGCAGGAAATCAGTCCCTCATCGAGAGGCCCTGAACCCGAACAATCCAGATTCCAGGTAGGGAACTGACGGGGCAAGGCAATCCCCAGGCTCGCCAGTGTCAATCATTCGGCATTATCCGCGTCCACCGGACGCACGCCGAGAAGATGCAGAGCCTCTAGTACCGAACGAGGGGTAGGACGCGAATCGATACTGCCGGGGGGTACGACGCGGAACTTGGAAGATGGAGACATTGGCCTCCAGGCCACGTTCTCCTGCGTATTCCCGCTGACGCGATGTGGGAATGGATGAGTATTGAGGGGTGGGTTGTTTCAGGAAACAGCATGCGTTCGAGGACAGGAAGAGAATCTTCACCCATCATAGGTTGAAATGGGTTTTGTGGATGTCCCCGAGTCTGCAGAGTCTTCTCATCCACCGTTTGTTAGTCAGACAAGCCAAGCGGGCGTGGCCAAGCTGAAGAAGGGGGGGGGGGGGCTGAAGACTGCTTCTCTTGGTCTTTCCCCATCCTCTCTCCCGGCGGCCGTAAACGGGCAAGCAGAATATCAACCGGTGACGTCCATCGTACATGGCATGCCGATGTTGGTTGGCTGGCTCGTCGGCCAAGGCGGTGATGAAGAAGCAAAGGGTTCGTGTTCGTTACCGTCCAGTAGCCAGTCCAGCTGATTTGTGGTGGCTAAGTTGTGCGGTTGCCAACCGCCTAACCAAGGTTCAGATGCGTTGCGGATAAGTTGGGCATGGGCTCTTAGCGGCCGCTCATAAGGTAGATTGCCCCTACAGTTGCCCGCCAGCTGACATCTAAACTGAGTTGAACTTGCCAGGGCGCCCTGCTCTCTCTCTTTCTCTCTCTCTTTCTCTCTCTCTCTCTCTTTTTCTGGTCCCTGACATGCTGGTAAACACCCACGCGCAACACAAACACCAGAGACACCATTAACCTTCCTGGCCCTTGCAAGATCTCATACTTGTGCCCTGAACTAGCCATTCAGTCTGGGGGCCGCGGCGGCTGCGGAGGGCTGCCGTTGGTCTTGGATCCTTAAAGCTGTTGTTGGAAAACCTGGCTGTTCAGAGAAGAATCAGGCGAGCCAACTGCCCATTTCCACTCTCGTCTGCCAACCAGCACCACCGCATTCAAACAAAGAAAACGTTTGCTCTTTTCTTCTGCATTTTTCAAGACCACTGAACAAACCTTGTCTCACTTGATCTCTGCTGTTTCGCCCCAGGCGCGATTGCCGCACAACTTCAACCTTCCAACAACTCTGCTCGATTCTTCATTTTTGACTTCTCTTCTGGGAAAACAGGCTTTGGTTGACCTTGCCGATAAGACCGTTCAGAGTCAGGAAGCGAGTAACACACCTAAGCTCTACCAGGCCAAGGCCAAGACACGATAGCCTTAGAAGGCTAGCCGTTCTATTTCCGACCTCACGAATGGCACCTTGAGCCGGCAGCTTCTGCCCTCCTGCTACCAAAAAAAAAAATAAAAAATCCCCTGTCCTTCTAAACCCCCTGCCATCCGCCCGCCCGCGTTACATTGAACGCCCCTCGAGGTTGGCGGTTCGCATTACACTTACAGTGGGAGCTGAGACATCGTGATTCGTTCTCTCCAGCTTCCCTGAGGCAGGCTTGCTTTTTCCTTTCGAGTCTTTTTCTATTTCATGTAGAAAAGCTGTCGGCCTCGGTGATTTCTGGCCCCATGTCCTCCACCCTGGCTGGTAAACCCCATATCTATCGTCTGCCGTCCCGTCCGTATTTACCATGGATTTACCTTGGTGCTCCTGCTGTTCAGTGCGTGTGGCCCGTGGAGTCCGTACGGACGTAAACACGCACAAAGCCTCAACTTGGCATCATTCGATTCTGTTCAGCAGCTCAGGACACTCTCTAGTCTTTGGGTTTACCTCCTAGATCCGATCCTGCCGAGAAAAGGTCCGCAATGGAAGTAATATAATGATTCTTAAGGGTGGAGACTGCATACGGACGTACAGTATTACAGATCGACGCGCGCAAAGGCACGATGAGGTCCGTCAGTGGCGGCAGAGAGAGGCCCTGCCTGGCTTGCCAAATGCCAATTTAAGGTACGATTGCAACTAGACCCTCGTCTCTTTCGGCCGGTCAGCGTCGGATTCGCGAGCCGCTGCCAAATCTGGCTCTTCAGTTGAGTTGTTACGAGCATATACGGGCGGTATGTCAGCACGGGAAAAGAGAGTCACGTTGGAAGGGTTTTGATGTAAAAGGTGTTGGGTATTAATCTGATTGGCTCGGGCTGCCGACTCCAAATCTTGCTATTAGTTGTGCGATGTCGCGTCGCTAGCATCTCATCCTTCTAACCTCATCCCGACTCTACGGCCCTTGTGTTGGCCTTTTTTATCTGGTAGATGATGATTCCTTCTACAAAAGAGAATATAGGCTCAATTCGTGGCCTATTCCTGGACGTCTTCTAACCGCCCAAACTTTCTACCCTTGCCAAGTGGCAAAAGGCGAGCAAGCGCCGTTGATAATGACTGCATACGAGTGCGTCGATAATCATTCGAAATAGGAATGATCGAGTAAATAATGTTATTTGACTCAAGGGAAGAATATGGTAATGAGCTGGTATAGTCTACCATCTTGATGGACTCTTTGGAACGTCGTAGTCTGACGACATGGGGCCTCCTGGAGGAGGCCGAGTCCAAGAATGGTAACTTTCCGGGTATCGAATGTTGTATTTTTGGAGTTTTTGTTGTTTGCATGATCGGTCATCCGAGATCGGTGATTCTTCACATAATCTCGCTTTGCTTGCGGATCTCCTTGGAGGTAGTCGTCTTCATGAACGACTTGGCCGCGTGGCGGGGCACGTAAGCGGCCTGCTTCGGCTGGTCACCCATGAGGGACTCTTGCTCCTCCATGGTGCCCATTGACGTCAAAGAGGCCAAGGAGCCGCTCCGGCTGTTGGAGCCCAAGCGCGAGGACAGAGAGAAGGTGGCAGACCGAGGCGAAGACGGGGCCGATGAAGAGGCAGTAGAGGAAGAAGAGGTGGAGGAGCGGCGACCGGGCTTGAAGGCATCGAGCCAGGAGCCGACGTGCTTCTTGGACCACATTGGGAATGAGTAATCGACGATTCCGAAGGATCCAGGGGTGTTCATTGAAGAGAGTCTGGGAGAATGTAGTCGACAAGGACTATTGTTTGAGTTTTTTGATTGTTGGAAAAGGCGTTGAGAGCGTTGTGCTGCTGAGAACGGAAATCGGGATGGATGGGCGGGTTGTACCACGATGTTTTAAAGACACGAGAGCAAAGAGATGAGTCTAAGATTGGTGATGGCGAACAAAAGAGCAGCCACGCGGTAGGATCGAATTGTCAGATGGACAGGACAGATCGAAGCCGAAAGAATTGTGGGATTTTCGAGAGGCGTTCAAAGGAAAGTTGAGAAAAGCGCAGTAGGGAAAAATAAGATGGAGCTTTAACCACCACAAGTCGAAGGATATGATATTTAGTTCAGGACCGGTTCACGATGGTACGTCCGCAAAAGGCAGAGGCGGAGCAGGATGCTTCCGCAAGCGGACGAGAGATATATCTACCGGGTGGGAAGAGAGAGAGCGGGGAGGGCGACATGGGCAAAAAATGTGGCCACTGTCAACACACACACGCTGACTGACAACGCCCATGATGGGATCAGGAACGACAAAGATTCCAGCCAACATGCCCACGCATGCCCCCGCGCAGTCCGCGCAGCCTCTGCGCATACCTCAGCCCGACTGAGACATCAACAAGTCCGTCGCAACGCCCCGTCAACGCCCTTACTGTTTGCGAACAAATTCCTCACGGCCACATTTCTGCCTCGGCCGGCCCATTGTGTAAGCCCCGGCCTGCTGGGAACAGGCTTGCCAGTTCTCGCTGTCCGGCTCCACGGTGGCTTGGCCGATGGCTGGAATGCTGTGAGAGGAATGGACGTTCACTAGACTCCAAGCGCGTCATGTTCTCTCAAGAGCCATCACATCCCGCAGGACAGGCCACCTGCTGCCTCTACCAAAGGCAAAAGCTACAAGGCTCCCGCGATCGATGCTGTTGGCAGCAGACCGGCGTGAAGACAGTGGGTCAACAGCCGAGCTGTCATTCTCAAGGGAGGCGCACATGGCGTATATGCGGACTGGGAGCCAAATTCTTCAAGGAAAGGCTAGCGCTACACATTGTTCGCCCTAGCTTCGGGAATGCAGCACGGCCTATTGTCAAAGTTGACGCAAGCGGAATGTATGCGAAAAGCCAGAGATAGCAACGAAAAATTCGAACCCGTTGCGATACCGGTAACCCTGGGAAAATTCCATTATCATTCATCTATGTGCTAGGGCAGGTAGCGCAGGGCACCCCGTTGCCTTGAATTACTCATCCTCATCCTGTCCCTCTTCGTCCTCGTCGTCCTCGTGCGTGATGAATGGCACAAATCGAAAGTCCAAGAAGCTGACCCCGCCGCCCTCCACCTCAACCATGAATTGCAAACTCAGAACGCCTTGGGCATCGCCGCGGAAGCTAATTTTGCTAGCAATCCGCATCGCCTCGCTCGAAGACTTGATCAGATCGAATTTGTAGGTCTGGGTCCATCGATCCTGGATTGAAAAGGTCTCCAGTAGCTCGCGGCCTTTGGCGAAGTCCACGCTGGACGACCCCAGGTCGCCAGCACCGGAAAGGGAAAGGTAGGGTTGATTCTTCGAGGCTGATATGGTTAGGCGGCTGGGGCCGGTGGGTGCAAGCTCGGCCAAGGCGTCAAGAAGGTAGCGAGCCTGCATAATGATTTTGAAAGACAGGTTTTCCCGGTCAAAGGGTATCTCCTCTGGGATTTCCGGCAGATAGGTTGTGAGGCTAGCGGTAGTCTTGACCCCGCTTTCCTCGATGATAATGTTGAATTGGCCGCCCTCTTCGGTATATACCAGGCTACAAGTCCCGCCAATTCCCAGAGTCTGGTTACTAAACGCATCTGGTCGGTAATTGCGGAGATTACTGCGGTACGGGTCCTGCTCGGCCTTTTGCGTGCGCGTCGCAATGTCTACGGCGCCGAAAATCTGAAGCGTCTCGAGAAGTGCTGGGAGTGTGATTTGAAAGTTGGGCAATGGCTCGTCCTCCGCAAGATTCAGAGAGTAGGACGTAAATAGTTTCTTGTCGAGGAAGGCAGTACCTAGACGATGGTCAGTCATCCTGTCCACTACAAATACCGGTCGCCAAACTTGCCTTGCATAACCCTAGACAGATCGGCAGCAAACCTGATGCCATCTTCCTGGAGTTGAACATGGACCTTGTTGGAGAAGCTGATGGTCCTCAGCAACTGGTAGAGCGGTCTCGTCGAGCTGGCCACAGCGCGGAACAGCGGCTGCGGTACCGCACTGGGTTGGGGAAGAGCAGCCGACATGACTTCTACTGGCGCTGCAGAACTGTGTATTTGGAAAGTCACCCGATATGGAGAGATTGGTGAAATGGAAGTTCTTGCTTGTTTTCTAAAGTACAAGGTCGCCGCCGACTCGAAAAGCTTCTTGGGGTATCTTAGACGTAGACTCCGACCGCGCAGAACATGTATACCGTGCCGAATCTAAGTACGATATTAGTACAGGACCTCGACTGGGAAATGAAGGCCGTCTGGCTTACGCAATTGCAGCTGAGGCAGGCACACCAAGCGCTGGGATGTTGATGAAGGAACGGTCTGCATTGCAATATTAGGCGATGAATTTCGAACGAAGGTGCTCGAACAAAGCTTACTCAGAGCGAAGAAACCAGTGATAGCAACACCAATGAGGAGGAGAAGGAACGCAATGAAGAATTGGGAATCCTTGGCGACGGCGGGTTGGAACGGCGTGCTAGCAGCAGCTTGCCAGACCTCAAGCAACGAGGAGTCCATCTGCTGATCGGGGAGAAGACAATTGATTGTTCTTTCGTGTCTGAGTCGTTTGCGTCGATGTCGCAGAAGATGGTCCGGACCGTTGAACAAGGCTTGCACAGAGTCGTGAATGTCCAGATGTATCCGGAGAGTGCTGTCAATGGGAGATCATGAAGCGCGGGTTGTAGCTTCCCCCAAACGTGTTCTGAGCTCCAAAGGGTCCCACCGTGAATTGTGGCCTGAACCAGAAAGGGCTTAGCTCAATCCCACTTTCCCCTTGTGCATCGACCCACTTGGCGCCATCCGGCAACGGAGAAACGGCAGAGCCTAGCGCGGCATGTCATCAACCATCCAGGAACCACCTCGACATCATCCATCGACAAGGTTCATCGAAATAGGCCTGCGAAGGCTCGCGATCGAGGTCAAAATGAAGGAAGAGAGTAAGTCGCATGGTCGCTGATTCAACATATGACCTTAGGCACGCGCTAATATCGCGTCACAGCCACGAAGCGCAAGGCTGAGGAGGAGCCGTCCTCCCCGATCGCGAATAAACGGGTCAAGCACAATGAGTCGGCCGAACCAGAAAAGAAGCCGGCAATGAAGCCCATCCCCTTCCCCGAAAAGGTGAGCTCTACTCCTCAAACTGCGTCGCGACCATCGCACAGTTGATGCCCGCTACGCGCTCTCCATGCGCGTCGTCCACCTAGACCCGCCGAAGCTGACCATGATTTGCGACAGCCCGCCGTCATCGAAGAGCGCACCGGCGAGATCGAGTTCCGGGTAGTCAACAACGACAACGAGCGCGAATCCCTCATCATCCTCACCGGCCTCAAATGCATCTTCCAAAAGCAGCTCCCCAAGATGCCGAAAGACTACATCGCGCGACTCGTCTACGACCGGACCCACTTGTCCATCGCGATCGTCAAGAAGCCCCTCGAGGTCGTCGGCGGCATCACCTACCGCCCCTTCAAAGGTCGCCAGTTCGCCGAAATCGTCTTCTGCGCCATTAGTTCTGATCAGCAGGTTAAGGGATACGGCGCGCATCTCATGTCCCACTTGAAGGACTATGTCAAGGCGACCAGCGACGTGATGCACTTCCTCACGTATGCTGACAACTATGCCATCGGATACTTCAAAAAGCAAGGTTTCACCAAAGAGATCACGCTGGATAAGAGCGTATGGATGGGTTACATCAAGGATTATGAGGGCGGTACGATCATGCAGTGTTCAATGCTGCCCCGCATCCGATATCTCGAAATGGGCCGCATGCTCTTGAAGCAAAAGGAGTGCGTCCAGGCCAAAATCCGCGCCTATTCGAAATCGCACATCGTCCACGCTCCGCCAAAAGAATGGAAGTCTGGCGCCAAGCCAATCGACCCGCTCACCATCAGCGCCATCCGCGCATCAGGCTGGTCGCCCGATATGGACGAGCTCGCCCGCCAGCCCCGCCACGGTCCCAACTACAACCAGCTTCTCCACCTCCTCAACGACCTGCAGAACCACCAGTCTGCCTGGCCCTTCCTCGTGCCCGTCAACAAGGACGACGTCGCCGATTACTACGAAGTTATCAAGGAACCCATGGATCTTAGTACGATGGAGACCAAACTCGAAGCAGATCAGTACGCAACGCCGGAGGACTTTATCAGGGATGCGAAGCTCGTCTTCGACAACTGTCGCAAGTACAATAACGAGTCTACGCCGTATGCGAAGAGCGCCAACAAGCTGGAGAAGTACATGTGGCAGCAGATCAAGGCCATACCCGAGTGGTCTCACCTTGAGCCGTAGAAGGGCTCGATGAGACCCGGGAAGGGCGATCCAAGGCATGTGACGCCGCAGCAAGAAACCCCAAAGGTTACCGAAAATCCTTCGGGGGGGTTGAGGCGGCGGTCGCATAGGGTGCGTCGTGTGTCGTAGGGCTTGGTTGGTCACGAAGTAAGTGCAACGAAAAGAAAAATATCGGATTGGGGCGGGTTTGAAGCTTCAAGGAGTTGGCGTTGGGTGGCGACTGTAATTTTCTCTACTCGATAAGGGACTATCAGATAGAGCTTTTCGGAAGATTACCAGCAGTGTGCTTCTAGTCAGGTCGGGTCGTGGCGTTAGGGAAAGGCCGCGAGGCTGCTATGTCAAGCCAACGACTGAATTGAAATGTTTTACCAAAAAGCCGCATCCCTCAATCGCATCTGAATCATGTCCACGAGCATGAGACTTTTACTGACATGGCATGTTGTACACGTAGGTAGGTAATCGAGCAGGGTTGTCACCAAAATTAGCACTTTTATAACTAAGGTCTCTTAGTTAGATACAAACGGCCTCCCTGGAAGCGGGCCTCAAAATGCAGAGAGTTCTCGTTTCCTCATAATTTCTTGTGCTCGCTCATCCAATCCTTTGCAATCCTACAGAAGCATAAGAGCAACCCTTCCAACGCCGTATGGGGGAATAACCGAGTGATGTGTAGTGGGTAGTCGCCTTGTTGGGGCGATCCTCCCTTTGCCCAAAAACTCAAGGAACTCTAGTATTGAAAAATTTGAATCAGACTAAAGAAATCGCCTCTTCGACTGAAGATGCGCGTCGAGGCGTTTGAAGAAATCCAGCGGTATACCCGCTGCCGTGATCACGGAAGTCTCGGGTCTTCTCCGGTCGACAACGGGGCCCAGTTCCATATCTGGCTCCAAGTGCTTGGGTCGGAGTATACGAAAGTTGAAGGGTAAGGGCTGGCCCATAAAGCATGGTAAGCGTCGACATCAAACTCGCCGGTCAGCGGGTTTATGATCGGTCGATCTATTGTTGGTTGACGTCTGGTGGGCAACATAATCTCATGCACAGTTCGAGATAGCTCTTCCCCGCTTATCACATTCATTTGGTCAACGAATGTTTCATGCCCACGAGAGGGAACGTCAGGCGCCGAAACTTCCTAGGCCCCGGGTGCCTGTGCCGTCCTCTGCAAATTCGGGCTAGCTGCGCTGTCGCCGACAGGGAGCCGCAAATCCGAATATGTACGTCTCCAGTTTGAGATTCCGCCAATGTGATGTTCGTCAGTGCCTCTGCGTTCCCGTGCCGCATTGCGACTTGAAATAGAGGGCAAGCGAGGAGGTGCTGCAGTTTCCTCGCCACTGCTCGAGTTCTGGTTCTCAAGCGTACGGCGAATAATGTCGTGGAGGAAGTCGGGTATGTCTTGCCACTGACCAGCGCGAGCAGCGCTCAGCATGCGAGGGGGGAAGAGTGCTTGCGGCACAACTGCAACCGCTGCCGGATCAGCTCTCGATGGTGAGATGTCGTCGTTGGAGAGATATGGCAGCTCGCCACTCTCAATAACGTTCTTTAGCCACTGCTCCCATTCCTCGTCCAAGACCGTAGACATGTCTCCAGCCTCTCGTCGTGCTGCCCTCTCTCTCAATCGCTGGTTCAGAGCAACACCGACGCTCTCGAGTTCCTCGTCACTCTCTTCACCGTCCATGTCCTCGTCTCCAGGATCGGTGGCATCATCTGTATCCACAGACCTTGATCGAGGGTTTCGAACCGGGGCCGCTGGACGATCTTCCGGCTCGATCCAGTCAGGGAATCCATCGCCGGCAGTATCTCTAATGGAGATGCCTTGTTCCTTCTCGTAGCGCTCCTTAGCCCATCTTGTGCCCTCCCATTTGGTCAAACCCGCAATCTCGTTAGGGGTCAGATGGAGGTTATCAAACGCTCGGAACAAGCGGCGGTGCCAGGTCCAACGACTCAGACGAATACGGTGGATGGGGTTGCAGTAATCCAAGCCCGGGTACTTGGCTTCTTGAGTATCGAGATGGCCGTAGAAGGAGTGAACCTCTTGACGAACCTCCAAAATCAGGCTGCGCTGCAAGAGAGCATGGAAATTTTGAGGGTCGCTCGCGCGAGGCTTGGGAAACATGTGCTCATAAACGAGCTGGTCAATGGGACGGCCCTTCATTTTCGGGATCGGCTGAGAAGAGTGGAATTTGCAGCTGAATTTGGCGCAATAGGTGTGCAATCGGGTGGTATATTCGTAGCAGCTCGCAACAGATAAGACAAGCGTTGGTAACGCCGCCTCTGCACTGTGCTGTTGGTCCGCTCACAAATTGCCTGTGAAAGGTGGGAACTGATATGCGGCCGTGGAAGAAGTCGAGGCGTCTTCGTCAAGGCCGATGGAGGGGAAGTCGTAGAATTTGCCGTCGACCGGTTTCTTGAATCGTACGTCACGGCTAGAGAAAGAGGGGGGTTCGGGAAGGAGCTAGGGGCCGATCTGTCGCTGTGTCGTCTGAAGAAGGGACTTCGAACGGTGAAGCGGTCTGCGCTTGAACGTAGGTTATTGTTGTTGTCGTATTGGCGTGAAGGATGTTGAGGCCAAACTTCTTTTCCAACGAAGGGCAGTCGAAAAAGGGAAGAAATCGTGAATATGGGAGAGTGTGAACGGGAAGAAGTCGGAACTCAGCGGCGAGAGGCGGGTAGGGTGGGAGGGCGAGGCAGGCGAGGCGAGGGTGTGTTGCGTGAGCGTTGGTGAGGTGTAATGGGGAATCCAGGTGCAGGGTGTGGATATTTGATCGTGGGGCCTTTCGAGTGGGACGTGGACGTGGGACGGGGATTCAGGCGCGGGCTCCTTCAAAAGAAGGTACGAAGACGAAGTACTGACAGAGTACCCCAACCTTGAGGTAAATAATAAATAGTGCCTGAGATGGTGCCCTTTCCCCGGGTACGTCTGCTAGGTAAGGTGTGTGAGGTGTGTGCAGCGGCGACTGCGGCGACTGCGGTTGGAGTGTCAAAGGAGGGAAGGGGAAAAAAAAAAACGGAAACAAAAACTAAACTGGCACTGGAGAGCTGGGATTGGGACTGGAGGACTGGACTGTGGTGAACGGGGAATGCCTTGGCTGACAAAAATAAAACAGGAGGCACCACCCATCATCATCCCCTTCCCATCCTTCAAGGAAAACAACCTATCTGATAAATGACCAGCACCTTCTATGGTACCTTTAGGTAGGTATCTCGAGTCGAGAGTTCCCATCTCTTGATATTACTGGACCGTGCTAAGATTTTGGTGCCTGCTTCATATGCTACGCCTCATGGTCCGTAGCGCCTTCTCACCGTGCCTACCGCAATGCACCTTGCCTTATTCTCACGTACATGGCCCGAAATGGTAGCTCAGCGAAGGAACTGTCTGCACGCACGTACCTTTTATGGCTGGCAGCTTCCTATGATTGACTTTCTTGAGATCACATTAGGGATACCCTCAGACGTTGGATTCTGGAGGTTCACGGGCAGTCTTGCAAGGCCCCCGTCCCAAATCCTAAATGTCAATATGTCGGGCCAAATCGCGGACTTTGAGCCTTTGAGATAAAATAGCCCCGCACTTCCATTCTCTCAGGTCTGTCACTGCTGTGCCCGGTACTTGGACCCCTAAGGTATCTTTCCTCCCGCTGCTTCGCTCGAGGTACCTCCATCCAACCACGGGTAAGCCAAGGTATATTTCCTTCTTCGGACTGAACATGCCGGAGCAAACTACTAGTACACTGCAATACCTAGTACACTACGCGACTACTACAGCACAACAATGGTCACTGATTCGTTCTACACTTTTCCAGAGTCCATTGGTCGTGCAGGGCCTGGAACGCGCGATCGTCAACCTCGATTCCGCCGTTGGGATGGTGGGCGCCTCGTTTTCTCGCAACCGGTCTTGCGTCTCTCAAGTTTCATACTGTCGCTTTTTCTACCTACACTACCAGTAGAGACGGCGGACTTTGGATTTGAGGAGTCAAATCAAGGCAAATCGGCCCCTCTGCCTCTCCGGGTCTGTCAAAAACCAGCAGCTGTCGGACAGGGGCAACCCGAGTCATTTTCCACCACACGCTGGAGCGACAATCCTTGGCCTATGACATCCGCATCGAGCCAACTCGTCGCTCAACCCGGGAAACCGCAACATGACGGACCGAAATGGCGAACCCGGACATCACGGGTGCCTCCCATGCTCTATACTAGACCGACTGACAAAAGGTTGCTCATCTGCTTCCTGAGGTGCACAGGCTTCATCACTTCCCCTCTCACAAAAACCCCTCGGTGCATCACCACATCCTGCAGGGATTGAGGCCACCAAAGGTCAGATTCAGGCCTCGACGAAGACCTGCCGGACCTGACACAGGAGAAACCCGAGCCAACGGCGCGCTTCTTCGGTTGTCCTTCGCAAACACACACTCTTCCACTCCGCGACGGCCTGCGCACTTTGAACTTGCCATCAGCCTCCTTGTAACACCGCTTGCCCTATGGCCGCAAACCCCTCCGGCCATGGGCTCATCTGACCTCGACTGACCGCCTCGACTACACAGACCCAACAGCCGCCTTACAAGCCCGTCCCCTACCGTCTCAGGAACAGGGGTCCTTTTCATCGCAGCCAATCACCTTTCCAAACCTCCCATCCCTGCGGTCATCCCGCCCTTCCCTGCCTCCGCTTCATGCATTCACGCCAAAATCTTCTCCTTCGCCCCATTCACTGCCATCCGCAATCTCACTGGTTCCATTCTTCTTCTTCAACGACCCTCAAGGCTTGGACCTCAATCTGCTCGGTGCAGAAGGCGAGAAAAAAGTATAGCTGCATTCTGGAGTTGCTGAGAATCTGCATCATATTATCTCCGTCAAAAACCGTATCATCGAGCGGGTCCCGTTCGGCTGCATGTCACTCCCGAAAGATGCATGACGCTACATCTCCGAACGGGTTGCCGCTTTTTGGCGGAGCTTTTCGTCGCAAATAATCATTTTCGGGTCCGTCTAAGCCTCGTCAGCGAGACCTGACTTTCCAC